GGGGCCCCCTGCCACTGCGAAGCCCAAACGTTTGTCTAATTCATTTCGTGAACAGGACTGGTCCAGGAGCAGGGTGTTCAGCTATGAATGGGAGACCAGGGTGCTGGCCTTACCTTTCATCCTGTAATTCCTGTTTCTTTTGCTGCAGTTCTTTACAAAGTTTGGTCTTTTCTTCACACTCTTCCTTAAGTTCCCTAACTTGTGTTTTATAGAGGGTCTAAACAGCAAAATACAATAGAAACGAACATCACCATCATCGAGGGTGTTACTTACACATTCAAAACCGACCCAACAAAAACAAAAATACAAATATTTTACTCATGTTGAGCCCCTGGGCAAATGAATAGTTTAATGAGCTTTCCTATTTTAACTCACTAGCTGACTAATGAAAGCTCAGCTAACAATTTAGAAGCATGATTTCCAACTGGGTATCATGAGAATGGATTTGTGGATTTGTGTTCTTTTGCCCAGATGTTCTTTTCACATGAGCTGTGTGCTGGGAATCGTCCCGCACAGAACTCTGGTTTTACTCTAAGAATCTATTCCAAAGACAAGAATCATTCTCTTGGTTCTGCAGCAAAACAAAACAAAAACAAAAACAAAACAAATAAAAAGAGCCAGTGGGTGACACATTAATAAAATGTGATGCCTGTTGAGGCTAACCACACAGGAAGGTCTAGGCCCATACCTGGAGACCCCCTGAGTGTATGGCACATGTGTGCATGTGATCTGGGGCTTGCAGGACCCTGCTGGGGTGCCATCTGTCCCTCCTGCTCATGGAAGAACACCAACTAAACTTAAAGCCACGGACTTGGGGCCAGCAGGTAGTGTGGTAGTTAAGACCCTAGATTCCCAAAGGGCCAACTGCACAGTTCAAAGTCCCGGACCCAGCGACTTGAAAATCACACCAGGCACGTGTGTGTGTGTGTGCACAGAGTCCCTGGAGAAGGGAGAAGGGACTGCGGCGTGGCCATCCCCCATGGGGGCAGTGATTTCTCACTTTTTCTCTGACTCTCTCTGTAAAACACACATGCATTATGACAAAAAACTAAAAGTAAAACAACAGACTGAAGAGGAAAATGCTACAAAGACAGCGCTCTTCGACTGAGAGCATCCGGAGCTTACTGAGAAATACTGCTCAGCTTCGAGCTGGTCCTGAAGTTCTTTCATCTGCCCGTCTGCGTCTTGCCGTTCTCTGTGGGGACATCGGGACAGGATTTGGATAAGTCGCGGCACTTTTAACCCCAGCTCTCCGGGGAACCTCTGGGAGTCCAGAGAACCCCTGAAGCTACACCATTTTCAGAATACATAACGCGAAGCTTCCTTGCTTTTTCCTACCTCACCCCTTCACCAGCATAATGGCCTCTCCTTGAGGCTATAAGACATAGGATGACGTCATCTCTACAACGAGTGACACGTGCAACAGTGCTCACGTGGCTTAACATTCTCTCAGTTTGAATCTCAAGCACAAAAACCGTTAGCTATGAAGTCATATAAACAAAGACTCTTTGGAAAGCTCATTGATCTGTACAAGTTACGAAGGGGTTACGATACACTAAACCAACGCTAACACTGAGAAACGTGCTTCCCCACGTGCATGGCGACCATCCTTCTGTGCCGAGGGGCCTGCTAGCTCAGGGAGGGCGAAGACACGCGAGGCGGGAGGGAAGGAAGGGAGGGAAGGTCCACAGCGCTGGCCTCACATCTACATCCAGACTGGACCGCACAGACTGGGCCCTTCGTAAGAACCCGCTGAGCTCTATGCAAAAGTGAACTTTTGTATACATGTTCATCTTCAACCACTCAATAAAAAATAAAACGTGAACCTAACGAGTCATCTCAGAAGCTGGGTTTGGGGGCCAGCAGGTGGCGTGGTAGTTGAGCCACTGGGCTCCCACATGGCTAACCGTGGCTCGAGTCCTGGACCTGGTGGCTTGCTGTCTCACCCTCCCTCTCTCTTTCTGGTCAAATTGAAGAATAATAATAAATAAGTGGAATAAAATAAATAATTTAAAAAAAAGAAGTTGGATTTGGGGCCAGCGGGTGGAGTGGCAGTTAAGGTGATGACCACATGGCCAACTGCAGTTCAAATCCCAGACCTGGTTGGTGGCTTGCCTTTTGACTTTCCCTCTTTCTTTTTCTGTCTCTTTCTGGTGAGTTCTATAGCAAATTAAATGATAATAATAAAATAAATAATTCCAAAATAAAAGGAAGTTGGGGTAAGATACTACATTAAATTTTAGACTTAGTTAAAAACCAGAACAATTATTTCAAGTCAACACTAAAGGTTATGAAAAAGCAAGTTGCCGAACACAATTTACACAACTGGAAACAAATGAGCAAGTGGGTCAGCAGGACAGAGCCGCCGACCCGCTATGTGTCTGCACAGATGCGCACGCACAGGCGCAGAGAAGGGCTGGAAGGACCGTGAGCTCGGGGTGCTAGCTCTGGGGAGGGGAAGACGCCTGCGCTCATAGAGGGACCTGTCACGGTCTCCTCTTCTTTTTTCTTTTTAAAAAACAAAAACAAAACATAGTTCTAAGTATTTCACAATAAGAAAATAATTGAACACCATTTAGGTATTTTCAAAATGCATACAGCAATACTCAGAGAAAGCAAATGATTTAATCCCATTATTTTCACGGTGTCTTTCTTAGAACTTTTATCCTCATTCTTGTTTCACATAATTTGGTCACTTTCTCGGTCCTTAAACCTTTGGGTAAAAAAATAAGTTATATCTGGGACCAGCAGATGGCCTAATGGTTTCATCGCTGGACTGTGGTTCAAATGCTGGACCCGGCAGCCTAAAACTCACTGTGGACGCGTGTGCATACCTGCCCAAGAATCCAAGAGGAGAATGGAGGAGAAGGGAATGCAACATGGCCATCCCCCTGCGGGGAGTAGTTTCTCACTTTCTGACTTTCTGGTGAATGGATGTGCCCTACAACAAAAATCTCTCTCTCAAGAAAAAAAAAAAAAAAAGGACAGGACCAGCAAATGGCATAATGGTTACATCACAGGACTTGCACATGGTCAGCCATGGTGCAAGTCCTGGACCCAGTGACTTAAATCTCACGCCAGGCACGCATGTGTGCATGCCCCAAATTCCAAAAGAATGGAGGAGAAGGGACTGTGATGAGGCCACCCCTTTTGGATGGCAATCTCTCGCTCTGTCTCTCTGGCAGTGCACATGCCCTATAGCAAAAATCTCTTTTCAAAAATAAAGTTATATATCTTAATGGTGCTCATCTGTGTTGCCTCTGTATGCTATTATTGGTATGTGTGTTATTGCGAACGCATGGTTATTTCTCCATGCGTGAGAAACGTCAGAGACGGTAAGGAGTACTATAAGAAGGGCCCATGTTACACCTGTCCCATTATCATCTCTAAGCTCACTTGTAGCAAAGACCAGGTTAATTTAAGCACCAGTATCTTCTTGAGGCAGACATCCTTCACTTACGTGCAATTTTAGAAATCTACCATTTATTCGGTACTTAAGAAACGCCTTTCAAAAATACAGTTGACCCTTGACGCCATGTAAGTGGGCCCAGTTACATGCAGATTTTTTCAAAATACTGTAAATATACTCGCTTAAAAATTAACATTTTCTTTTCTTATTAGCTTATTATACTTACTGTAAAAATACAGCATATATAACACACAAAATACACATTTAGCAATTGTTTTTATTATTGCTAAGTCTTCAACAGTGATGTGTAGTTAACTTTTAGGGAGCAGCGAAAGTTAAACTAAAGTTTCTAACTGAGAGAATAGGACAGGGTGGCTCCCTAACTCCCTGTTTGTTCAAGGGTCAACATTGTTTCAGAAAACAATCACTGAACTGGCATAGTACAATAGAGAAAGGAAATCAGTGAAAAGTAGCGTTCTCCTACAGAGCCTCTCTATGCCCCAGGCAATCCTCATCAGCTAGAAGAAGTCACTTTGTTTCGTCTTTGTGTTCTGGTAGCTTTGTAGCTACTTGTACATCTCAGCTATGTCTTTTTCTTTTAATTGCCACATGGTGTTTGCTTTTGCTGAGAGAGATGAGGAAAAGGAAGGGGGAGAAAGGAACTTGGGGTACCCACACACATGCACCCAAGTGTGCTGGGGTGGGTTTGAGCTGCTGTCGGCTTCATGGGTTCCAACTCTCTTGACCACTAGGTCACCGGGATGAGCGTCCTCAGCTATTTCTTGGCACGACTTTATTTTCAATTGCCAGAGGGCACATGTACTTGCCAGAGAGAGAAAAAGAGCCCTACGAGGGCAGTGGTCATGCCGCAGTCCTATCCCCTGCACTCCATCCTGCAGGATTCTGGGCATGCATGTCCATGTGTTTTCCAAGCTGCTGAGGCTGGGACTGAATGCTAGTCAGACGCGGGATCTGGCTCCTGGTACACCACACGAATCACTGCACCACAGGGCAGTCTGAGACACCCCTCCCTACCCCCAAAAGAGCGACCTGCATCACTGGCCTACACGGAATGATTCAGTAACTACATGAACCATAACGTGCAACCTCCAGTCCGTTAGATGAGAACTGTGACACTCCCACCCTTGTTTTAAAATTTCATAAAAACGTGTCTAGATTTATTTTTTCTTCTCCATTTATTTCCTGGGTCCTTTTAATGTAAAGACTTTTCTCCTTTAGTGAATGGGAAATTTTTCTCTATAATGTCTTCATCTTCTCCCCCTGAGTTTTCAGTTCCTGCCGGAGTTCTTACTAGTCTGGTTCTGGAGCTCCATAACTGTCTGTGTCTCACCTGTCCATCTTCTAACTCCCATGTTCTTGTTCTCTATTCTGGGAAATTTGACTTTTTCTTTGAATTTGTCTAATAAATTAAGATAGCAGCTATTTTTATTTATCATAGTCTTCCTCTTCATCTTCAAGGCTTTCTTCAAATGCTCGGTGGTATTTGGTCAAATACTTATAAAGGAGGTGAGAGAAATTTTATTTTCTATCCACAGGAAAGTGTTTTCTAATCGGCAAGCTTTAGTTTAAGATGAGAAATTTATAAGACCATCAAGAAGCAGGGAGACCCCTAAATGCTAGAATGAAGGTCTTTCTCTGGGCTGCAAGAGCCATCCTAACTGCTCTAATTTTCTCCAGAGGTTGGGCTCAGTTTCTTTACAGGAAATGCTCTGACTGGGACCCGAGTGACAAGCCTGGCTACAGGCGTTTCTGCAAGCACGTCTGGTATTTATAAAACAGATGTAAAATGTCCCCTTGACAGTGTCACTCCTTACTGCAGGCCTTCGAGGTGTTTGTTCTGAGTACTGAGAGGGCATTCTCTTATCTGTCACTCTTCACGAGCACTCCTGACATCCCAGGCTGCCCTTCCTGGTCACAAGGCTCCCACGAACTTGCCATCACGTCATCCATTAAGAAGAACCTTCTTGCTCTCCAACCCACTCTCATTCTTCTTATGAGTTTACACATTTAAAAAATTCCTAGGAACCAAGAGTCCTAGATGGACCCTGCGGCTTAAAACTCACGCCAGGCACACGTGAATGCGTGTCCAAGGTCCTGGGAGGAGAATGGAGGAAAAGGGACTGCGGCATGGCCATTTCCTCCAGAGGGCGATTTCTCACTGTGTCTCTCTGGTGAGCACACACTGTATAGCAACAATCTCTCTCTTAAAAAAATCCTTTACTAGAGTTCACCTTTTTTATTATCATTATTCTTATTATCTTGACCAAGGGAACAAATGCTCATCAGAGAGTGCGACAGAACACCCCTGACCGAGGCGTGGTCATGCCAGTCTCTTCTCCTCCATTTTCCTTCCTGCCGGGATCCTGCTCATGCACTCACCCACTCGCCACTCGCCCTGCATGTTCAAGTCACTGGGCGGAGCTCTGGGCCTGTCAGCCCCGGGACGCAGCTTCTGATGGGCAGTCCTTCACCACTGCACTGGGGGGCCGGCCACGTTGGCCATTTTTAATGGAAGCCCGGGCAGCACTCCATACATGAATTCTCACTGCACGTATCTTCCTTACACCTCATATCCCAGTTATTTATGCATCCATCTGACCTCCCTCTAATGAATCTTTTCTGAAAAAATGATAGCAAGCTTCTCAAAAGTAGGAAACAAATTTGCTTAATCTGAATGTATTCAGTCATACAACACTTACTGAGGGTTAAGGTACAAGGCATTAATCAGGGATTAAGGAATTAAAAATAAATAAAAGATTTTTGCCCTTCAATGAACTTATAGCCTATTAAGTGGGTAAGACCGCAAATGTCAGTGTCATCAGGGAGGAGTGGTTAGAACAAGAATTAGGAATCACAGGTGGCTAGCAGATGGCATGTGGCTGAGGTGCTGGACTCCCATGGAGTCAACTGGAGGTCAAGTCCTGGACCTGATAGTTTTCTCACTTTCTCTCTCTTGCTCTCCAGTCAAATTAAAATAAATAAATAAATAGGGAACCAGCAGTTAGCATAATGGCTATGTCGCTGGACTACCACGTAGTCGACCGTGGTTCGAGTCCCGGACCCGGTGGTTCAAAACTCATGCCGGGTGCGGTGTGCGTGCATGCCCAAGATCCTGAGAGGAGAATGGAGGAGAAGGGATTGCGGCGTGACCATCCCCCCCGGGGGGTGATTTCTCGCTTTTTGTCTCTCTGTCTCTGTCTGTCTGGCGAGCACACGCGCCCTATAGCGAAAAAATCTCTCCAAAATAAATAAATAAATAAAGTTAAGTAAATAATTCTTAAAAAATAATAATAAATAAAAGGAAACAACAGAACTAGGGGGTCAGCAGGTGGCATGGTGGTTCAGGTGCTGGATCCCACATTGCTGACCATGGTTCAGGACCCAGCAGCTTGAAAATCACATCAGGTTCGTGTGCACACTTGCCTGAATTCCTGAGGGGAGAAGGGATTGTGGTGTGGCCACTCTCCCTAGGGTATACTTTCTGTTTCCCTCTATTTCTTTCTCTCTCTGGCAAGTGCATGTATCCTAATTTAAGGCAAAAATCTTAAATTAAAAAGGAAAAAAGAAAGAACAGACCCGTGGACACTTACAAAGAATATAAGAGCTCTCTCCTCCAGTAGCCCAAGATGCGCAAGGGCAAGAAGGCGGCTCCGGCCCCTGCTGTGGTGAAGAAGCAGGAGGCTAAGAAGGGGGTCAATCCCCCGTTTGAGAAAAGGCCTAAGAATTTTGGCACAGGACAGGACATCCAGCCCGAAAGGGACCTCACCCGCTTCGTCAAATGGCCCCGTTACATCTGGCTGCAGCGGCAGAGGGCCATCCTCTACAAGCGGCTGAAAGGGCGTCCTGCCATTAACCAGTTCCCCCAGGCCCTGGAGTGCCAGGCAGCGACTCCACTGCTCAAGCTGACCCACGAGCACAGGCCAGAGACAAAGCAGGAGAAGCAGCGGCTGCTGGCCCGGGCTGAGAGGAAGGCTGCCGGCAAAGGGGATGTCCCCACTAAGAGGCCACCGGCCCTCCGGGCAGGATGAACACTGTCACCACCTCGGTGGAGAACAAGAAGGCTCAGTGGGTGCTGATCGCACACAATGTGGACCCCATCGAGCTGGCTGTCTTTCTGCCTGCCCTGTGTCGGAAGATGGGGGTTCCCTACTGCATTATCAAGGGGAAGGCCAGGTTGGGGCGCCTGGCCCACAGGAAAACCTGTACCACTGTCGCCTTCACACAGGTTAACTTGGAGGACAAAGGCGCCCTGGCTAAGCTGGTGGAAGCCATCAGGACCAATTACGACGACAGATACGATGAGACCCGCCACCACTGGGGAGGAAACGTCCTGGGCCCAAAATCTGTGGCTTGCATCGCAAAGCTGGAAAAGGCAAAGGCTAAAGAGCTCACCACCAAACTGGGTGACGTGTACGCTGCTGAGTTTTCTGTACATACAAGTAATAAAACACTCTCCTTAAAAAAAAAAAAAAAAAGGAAGAAAGAAAATAGGAGATATATATGTGCGTGTATCTATCTATGCATGCCGTAAGTCAGGAGCAAAGGGCCGCAAGGCGAGGGAGGGAACAGCCTAGCGGCTGGGCAGCCTATGCTCTCCCGTAAATGTGGTTAGACCCTTGGAGGGCATGCAGTGAAGGGCTCTAAACTGTGGCTCCAGAGCTTAGAATCCAGGGCAAGAGTCTTGACTGAGCCCATGAGTTCATCCCAGCACTTGGGGTACTCTCTGAACTTGGGATCTAGTAATGTCAAATCAGGATCTCTCTAAGCAAAACTGTGAGACTTATTTAGAGCTGTCAATGGGCAAATTTCCCATTACATGGGAAAAGCTGGCCTACGCTGGCCTAAAAGGGGAGCAACAAATGACCTCACACACCGGGTAACGGTAAGACAGCTGTAGACGCACTGCTGGAGGCCAGCTGGTGGCGCACTGGCCGAGATGTCCGCGTCCCACGTGGCCCTTACACAGCTGGGAGTCCCGGACCCCACAGCTTGAAAGACACACCAGGCGCATGAGTTCCCAAAATCCTGAGAGGAGAAGAGCAGAAAAGGGGCTGTGGCATGGCCATCCCCCTGGAGAAGATTCTCTCACGCTCTCCTCTCTCTCCCCACTGCCACTCCTGGTGGAGCCCCTGTGCCCCATGTCACATTAAATGGAAAAAACAAAAAACAAAATACTGTTCTAATATCTAGTTCCAATTTTAAAAGCTGAACTTTCATCAAGTTTAAATAAGAGCCTAGGCTTACTCTGGCACTAAGTAGGAACAGCAAAAAAAAGCAAGTCTGCTTAAATATTTGACCATCCTCTCCCAGTCTCGTCAGTCGTACGGACCTGTCACAGCTACGTAAAGCAGGACAATTAGCAATGACAGCAGAGTATCGTCGAGCTGTAACAACAGTCACGGTGACAGCAACAGTTGTGGTAGAGGTAGCTTCTCACACTAGATGCTGAAATAAACCTGCTACCTCCCACAAGACTCCTGACAAACAAGCTGTTCCCAACCCCCCTCACAGGTGAGGGAGCTCCGAAAGCCAGCAGTCCCGTGGGCCGGCCAGCACTAACGAATGTCCACACCTCCCTGTGTCTAGCCTCCCTAGCCCGTGTTCTCTCCACTCCATTGCAGTCTCATCAGAAACTGGGAAGAAAACAATTTTACCACTTATAAGTGGGACAAACTTTAACAGTGTAGTCGCTGTGTATTTTAGAAGTTTTTAAAATTAATTTTACGTATTATTTTTTGATGTGCTACAGGGCACATGCGCTCACTGGAGAGAGACAGAGAGAAAGAGCGGGAAAGAGGGAAAGTGAGAAAGCAAGCCACCAGGTCAGACTCGAAGTACAGTCAGCCATGTGGGAGTCCAGTGCCTCAAGCACCACGCCACCTGCTGGCCTTTAGAAGTATTTTAACAATATAGTTTTCATTTCCTAAGTTAAGCAGAACACTAGAGTATAACCTATGAGATGACTAAACATTTATACGGTGTTTGCTTCATAGTCAGACATTTCCAAGTCCTAGAAATGAAAGGCACACACAACAGGCACACAGATAACACACAGTCCTGACGAAGGACCTTAAGAGCAGGGAGAGAAACACCTGGACCCCCTTCGTGTGCTCCCAGTTTTTCTAGCATCGTAAAGTATGCAGGGAGCAATGGTAAGCAACTCCTAGGGAGGCGAGTGTGAGCCCTCGAAGAACAGCAGAGGCACTCCGTGCATTATGTTTGAAGAGAAAGAAAACGTGGTCAGGCCAACAAAGCAGTCCAAAGAGAATTCCCAGATAATCCAAAATTAAGGTAACCTACAGGTGGATAACTCTACCCATTATGACTCTGTCGCAGCCAGTTAACTTACTTTCGAAGTTCAGCATTTTGTTTTTCCAAGCTCAGTTTCATTTCCATGAGATGATTATTCTCTTGTTTTAACTGCTTTTCTGACATCTTTAGAGTGTTAACCTGCTGGGTTTGCATCTTCAAGTCATTTTGTGTCAAACAGCGCTTCTGAGTTTCCTGCTCTATTTTTAATGTCAAGTTTCTAACCTAAAAAATAAATTGTGTACTTAGTATATAAGTAAGTTATTTGGGTTATTCTTATCAGTGAAGCTGGTAGCAAAAAAGAGCTTTTTGCATCAAGGCAAATTCTGATTCATTTCAGATTTTTTTAAAAATATATTTCTAACAATGTTCTTAATGTAACTTAAAATATGATCTTTAAGATAAAAACAACTTTAAGCATTTTTAAATTATGATTTAGTATGTCACTGCATTCAGTAAAACCAACAGGTTGTAGAATATTATTTCATAAAATTCTTAAAATTATGAAGCCATCATTAGACCTTTACAAATAAATCCAGTGTATTATTGTTAATTCATTCGACAGCTTCTTTTATTTGCTAGTAAACGTCACACTTACATCCTCGTTTAGCACATCCTTCTGTTTAAGGAGCTCGTTCATCTTCTGCTGTGACTGTTTGAGGTCGCAGTCTAATATAGAGCACTTCTTCTCAGCCTCCAGCAACAGGTTTTCCACTTTCTGTTTTAAAGTCCTTTCCTCCAAGAGCTTCTTTTCCATTTCTATTACAATAAACATGGTCACAATAAAAAAGTCCCAAAAAAGGAAGTCTATTAAATATATAACAGTGCTAATAAAAAATAAAATAAATATTGTCTTGTTATATTTTTATTACTTTCCAATTTAGCATTTTCGAACATTCTTCACAATGTATTTGAAGTATCAAGAATTTCAGGATTGAAAATAGGGAGTTTCATTTGCAGGGTATAAAAATGTGATCACACTCTGCAATACTACATCTATTCTGATGGAAGTCAAATAATTCTGCCCGTATTTATGGGTTTATAAGATGCTTAGTCAGACAGGACTCTAAAACTAAATTACCTGAGTTTAGAATTTGGCCCTGAATTTTACTTCTGTGATTGAGTGACTGAGTGAATTAAACTCTCTGAGGCTCAGTGTCATTTTCTTTAGAATAAAGTGAACTGTACCTGTAATACCGGGAATGTCACAGAGATTTTGAACTGATGTACGTGTAGCACTTAAGTGCTACTTGGCATACGGCAAGCACTTCGTAAGTGCTCATTATTTAAAGAGACTGTCTAAAAAAAAAAAAAAAAAAAAGAGACTGTCTAATGACCTAAGAAAATGCTCACAATGTTTTTTAAGAAAAAAAAAATTAAAACGGTAGAAAATACTATCCTGATTTGTAGGATTATAGATAATCTATTGGGTTATCAGAAAAGTCATGACATATTTTTTTGTTTTTTCTACGCAAAAACACGTCATGACTTTTCCAACAACTGAACAGGCTTTTTTCTTTATACTTTCCTAAATGATTTACAATAAACTTTTAATTTATTTTACTAATAAGAAAAGGCTAGAATTTAAAAAGCCTCCTTCTATCTTGAAACAAAGTGCATGCAAAGGTTGTCTAATCAAGTGATTTCAATATGAAATGTATTGTTACAGGTAAAGGTCATCTTTTTGACACAGTCAAGGACCACTTAATGCAGACGTGTTCTGAGAAAGGCGTCATGGGCCATTTCATGTGTGACGTCAGAGTGCACTTACGTGCCCCTAGGGGCACAGCCTATGTGCTTCTTATGGTACCACCATGCATGCTTGGGCTAGTATTGACTGAAAACGTTATGTGGCACATGACTGTACTGACTGGTATTTCAGCTTAAACCCGATCAGCGACCCTCTGCTCCTTCACACCGAATGCTCAATGTCACCTATCGTTGTATTAGGCAAAAATTAAACCTATACATTTTCAGCTTTTTTTTTTTTTTGGAGAGGTTTTTGCTATAGGGCGCGTGTGCTTGCCAGAAAGACAGAGAGAGAGAAAGCGAGAAATCACCCCCCAGGGGGAACGGTCACACCACAATCCCTTCTCCTCCATTCTCCTCTTGGGATCTTTGGCACGCACACACATGCGCCAGGCCTGAGTTTAAGCCCCGGGTCTGGGACTCGAACCGTGGTTGACTACGTGGGAGTCCAGCAACGTAGCCATTATGCCATCTGCTGATCCACCATTTTCAGTTTTTAATAAATGGTCTTAAAAAATGCGAGGAAATGAAACATTCTGTATGTACTACTGGTAAGAGTGAGCACTTCTAAAATACTTTACATGGATCACTGCCCTTGATTCTCATGCCCTAACAACGCTGCTGTTGTCCCTTTACAATAAACGAGGCAGAGGAAGTTTAAGGGACAAGGCAGGGTCATGCTCATATACTGTCACTGTATTTTCAGCCATGTTCTTCATCCAGGGGGCAACGACATGCAGGCTGAAGACCAAACGCACAGCCCCAGCTTTGAATGCCACCTCTGATGGTTCTCGGTGCTCAGTAACTATGGGAGTCACTGTGTATCTTGCATTAGTGTTGTAGTCATTTCAAAATTTTAGTTATTTTATACTGACTTGGATCATTTTCATCAGTTCAGAGAATAACAATGTACTCATTTTGAAGGTGCCCGCACAGTAGGCACATAGGTAGAAAACAGTCTGCATTTTGTCTGGGTGGTAGCTATCGAAGTATACCCTAAAAGCCAAAAACATTTAAACCTTGTTGCATATAAATTATACTTGCATAAAAATACTTCAACTCTGTCTTCACATCCCACTAACTTTCCCTCTTCCACTTAGACTTTTCCAAATAAAGTACTCATTGTATTGCTTATTATCTTGAATTAATCCCCTAAACTGTCTTTAATAAACAATTTTAATTATATACAATAATTGAAGGCTATTTTTTTGCTAAGTTGTTCAAAAATGTTGTCCTTCAATATGCAATAAGATTTCTGTTCAAGGGAACCAGCAGTTAGCGTAATGGCTATGTCGCTGGACTCCCACGTAGTCGACCGTGGTTCGTGTCCTGGACCCGGTGGCTTAAAACTCATGCCGGGCGCGTGTGCGTGCGTGCCCAAGATCCCGAGAGGAGAATGGAGGAGAAGGGATTGCGGCGTGACCATCCCTCCTGGGGGGTGATTTCTCGCTTTCTATCTCTATGTCTCTCTCTGTCTGTCTGGCGAGCGCACGCGCCCTACAGTGAAAATCTCAAAAAAAAAAAAAAAAATGATTTCTGTTCAAGAGTTTTAAGACTTTCACAAGAATGAAGTACTAATTTCCTCTGAAATGTCAAATCCTGAGACCATCATAAATATAAATAGTCAGTTTGGAGAGTAAGAAATTATCTCAGGACAATTCTAAGATAAAACTTAATTTTGAAAAAGATAACTTTATTATTAATTAGAATTATATGGCATTACCAAATCTGGCTAGTATCTTCGCCATGCCAGAGTTCAAAATATTCAGTAATCTTAAATCTGATGTTATCTTTAAATCTTTAGCTTGCATTAACTGGCAAGAATTTTGTAATGTAACTTGGTAAAATGTTAAACCATAATAAATATTACAAAAAAGAACATATCCTCCAAATATGAATAGATATACCTAGAACTTTACACTCTAGACACCTATCACTGCTGATACCACTGAAATACTAATTTCTCTCTGATCTAAAAAGTTGATCAAATAATTTTATGTTTGGGCCTTAGTATTTTAGAAATAATTGTAAAGATGCAAAGGAAAAAAAATATACGTAAAGCTTTCTTACTAAGATCTATTTCCAGGGCCAGCAATTTGGTGTGGTGGCTGGGGAGCTGGACTCCCACATGGCTGTCTATGGTTCGAGTTCTGGAGCTGGTGGTTTGCTTTCTCACTTTCCTCTGTCTCTCTGACTCTCTCTGGTGAGCACATGTGCACAATACCAAATTTAAAATAATAATAATAAATAAAATCAAATAATTCTCTTTAAAAAAGATTTCCCCCCTCCAGTTCTGAATATTTGGCAATAAGATACAGAACCAAGCAGCTGAACATAACCAATTCTTGGGAAAATGCTGCCAGAAAACCCTCTTTTAAATGCATACCTTTCATAGCTTCTGATTTCGCTTCTTCAATGGACTCGTAGATCTTATTCTTATCTGCCAGCCGTGCTTTTGTGGCCTTGTGCTCAGCCTCTTCTTGTTCCAAGCTCTGCTGTGTAACTTTTAGTTGGTATGTCATATCTATTTCCATGTTGCTCTTTTCCTATCACAGAATTACAATAGCATCTATCAGCAAAAGAATGACTTGCAAATTCAAAGACTAATTTTAAGGCTGCCTTTTAATGGCCTACCAAGAATGTTCCTGACTTCTCCTCCGCTCTTCATCTAAACTTCCTATACTAGTGACCCGTGTTTTCTCCTCCCTTCCACTGCACCCACTTCACACAGCTCCGCGTTACTGTCAGTAGATCTGTACAAGATCACTTCATCTCCGAGAGAGACCAATGCTATTCCCCAAACCCAATCCAGTAGGTTCTTTTCAGCCTTTATCTCTGGATCCACTGCAGCCCTGGAACTTGTCCCTAGATGTCCCTGACATCAATCATGGGGTCCTCTCCTCCCGCTCTCACCTTCCTATTGTTCCTGTAAGTCTCCCCGGCTGCCCGTAAGCCTTAGTGATGCATGGAGGTGGTGTTCCTCAGCACAATGCTCCTCCTCCTTTTATACAAACCACTATTTCTCAAACACACCAAATGTTTTTAAACATACCTAGTGCTTTTCTTTCATGTACCTAAAAATATAAGTCCCATGATCCCTACCCTTCACTTGTACTTCCCACTTAGAAGGCCTGTTTTAAGCTGAGAGTTTTCGATAATAGAAGTCAGTCAATTTTTTAATACATAACCCGAAGATTTCCTAATTCTTTCATTTCTATGTAGTTCATAGGAGAAATCTAATATAGGTACTTCTTTTTATCAAAAAAAATCTCAAATACTAAAAATGATTTTTCTAACTACATAATATGCACCAAGAGGAATCAACTCTGTCCTGGAAAATCGCGACTCTACACAATCTCTTCTCAGAAGGGCTCTTCCACTCACGAGTAGAGTCAGCTCACGCACACTGACAGTGCCAACTACTTGCAGCTCTTACTACCGTGGCCTACTAGCAGCTTTGTAGACGTCCCAGTATGACTGTCCCCGGCACCTCAAACTTCACAGAATTAAAACAAAGTTATAATTATCTCCTCTGAGTAATTTTCTCTTTACTCTTTAAGAATTAAAGGCACCACTACGCATCTTGTCCTGACTCATCCTTCACTACCATTCAGATGCCACATCTAATCAATTACCAAGTGTTGCCAGATACTCCTCCCCCAAATACTTCTCAGGCATCCCTATTTCCATTTCCTAGTAACTGCATTATGTCTCCACTATACTGTATCTGAATTGAGAAAGTCTTTTGATTAGCCACCCCGCCTCCAGTCTTACAAATTTCAGATAGATTTTCCACACAGTACACAGTGCTGTGTCTTAAATGTACCTCTAATAAGATCGTATGATTTAGACTTCTTTAGTGGCTAGTCCTTACTTATGGGCTATATTTTACATTTCTCTTTTTCTTTTTAAATTTATTATAGGGCACGTGAGCTTGCTAGAGAGAAACGGAGGGCTGGGGGGTGGGGGTGGGGGAATACCTCCCAGGGTGCATGGCCACTCCACAATCCCTTCTTCATTTTCCTCTCAGAATTTTGGCCATGCATGCATGCACATGTGCCCAGAATATTTCTCAAGCCACCAGGTACTAGACTCAAACCACACAGTGGGTCAAGTGGGATCCAGCAGCCTTAACCACCACGTCACCGACTGGCCCTGTATTTTAAGTTTCTTAAGAGAATATGCAAAATCTTGTATAATCTAGCTCATGCCCAGCTCTGTGGCCTTCCTTCTGGCCACAGAACCCCTCACACCTTTACATGAAGCCTTTCTTGCAATCTTCAGGCCAACTTCAGCTCAAGGTCCAGATTTCTGGAGTTTCATTGGCATAAAGTCGTATCTATTTCTTCATGAATTACAATGGGCCAATCAGTTGCAACAGAGATCATATGGCCCCAAAAACATAAAATATTTACTATTTTAGCCTTAAAATATTAAAAGCGGGCCAGCTGGCAGCATGGAGGTAGCTGGCTGACAACGCTGTTGAGTCATGGACTCAACAGCTTGAAAAACACACTGGGCATGTGTGCATTGTGTGCCCCAAATCCTGAGAGGAGAATGGAGAAGGGACTGTGGCATGGCCATCCCCTTTGAAGAGTGCTTTCTCATTCTTTCTCTCTTTCTAGCAAGCAAACGTGCCAGGAGAGGGAAACAAGATTAAAAATTGGCTAAATCCTTCTTTATATTTCAGAAATGTTGAAGTTGTACTTAAATAAACAAACAATGCCTTTTCATCTTCCACCTTCTGTGTCTTTGCTCCTATGACTTGGAACGTGCCTTCACTTTGCCGGTTTATCACTGTCAGATTAGGGACTCATCCTGTGTGCCCGATACATAAGCTGTCCCCACTCCAGTGTCTGTTTACCACACCACATTAGAACTATCTACTAGATCGTCAAGAAAGTCATGATGCATTTTTGCATCACCTGACGAGCTAACATGTGCTTTATTAATATTTTAAGAACCACCTGTTAGACCTGACTTTATTAAAGGCAAGGACTGCATCCTGAAATCTCTACTGCAGATGGTATGCTGTATTTAAATGAATGGATAAATACGTGAACAAAAATAAAATGCCAACTGTACAGACCCTAAAAAACCACTCCTGGCATACAAGCTGTAAAAAAAAAGAAGAAAAATTTCTAACTGCCAAAAGTATTGACTTTTTATAATGTCATTTTTAAGACCAGTTATAAGTCGAAATTTGAGTTTACTTGGTTCCCCGGAGAGAAACACCCTGACTATGCACACTCCGGGAGAGTCCCTTCCTTCGCGGGCACCCAGCAAAGCAAGGGCTGTGTATATGGTATCACCATCCAGCCTTGAGACAGAGAGCCATCATCTACACACTGAGTCTAAACAGGAGTCCAGGAATGTGGGAAAAATTCCAGTTAATAACTTCCCCTATTGTAGAACAATTTCTAATCTGAAACGCTGCTACTTTCTAACAAAAGAAAATATAAAGCGTTACATGTTTTTACCTTTTCCAAATCAGCAAATCTCTCCTGCAATTGCCTCTTTTCCAGTTCTACTTTTGCTAGTAAGATTTTGCCATTCTTTAAATCTTCTTCCAGGCCAGATATTCTACCTAAAAATTGCAACATTATTTTTAAACAATGAACTCGTAAGGTAGAAATGTTCCATTAAAAGTAAAAAATTTGGAAACTACTTCTTACTCTGGAGCTGTTGTTTGTGAACAGGACTCTACACTTTTGGTGTAGTGCTTTATAGTTAACTCAACTGGAATCCAACCGACCACCTGAGGAGTCTGAACTTAAAACCGCACTATTTGAAAGTAGATCTTTCATTCAGATAATTTTGCATAGCTCTAATATTACAACTTCCCTTAACAGAACAGTACATTCAAAAATGTGCTACTCTATCATCGGAAGTTATTTACAAAAGAAGAAGCACCGAGACTGGTTCAATGGCAGCCTCTACTTTAGTACCTTGTAGATCATTAATTATTTCTGACCCATGCGTCCGGTCCCTCCGTTCAGATTCCAGAGCAGACTGAAGATTGATATACTCCTTTTCAAGTTTTAACTTGGCAGTCTCAAGCAGGCAGTTTTTATCTTGCAGGTCTCTATTGTTAGATTCCAGCTGCTGAATCTGTTTGGAACTTTCTGCCTGGGTTTTTCTTAAACGGGCTGCGGTATCGGATTCTGTCCGCAGCAAAGCATTGGTTTCATCCAGCTATTATTCCATTCGAAGTTGAACAAACAACAGATAAACACAAGTGAATGTAATCAATGTGTCAATTTATTACACAATGACACACTATTTTAAATAATCAAAAACCTAAGCATATTTCCCTAAGATTTTTCCCTCTAAAATAAGAGGCAAAGGCCTTGACCACATTGCCAATTAAAATATTAACAGGCAGTAATAAATAAAACTCAACGTCTTTATTATAAATTGAGGTTAACCTACTTGTCTCTGGAGTTGATTCACTTTTTCGGTGGATATTTGGGAGTTTTGATTTCTTTTTTTCAAATCTTCAAGTTGATCTTTTAAGCTGTTAACTATGATAAAAAGCGTTTCAGTGGCGAGCTTCTACACACACACACACACACACACACACACACTCTTAATAAGCCGTTTAATAGTCTACATTACAAACCATCATTTTCCAAATTTCGTTTCTTGTCTGCTTCATGATCAGCTTTCCGCTGGAATTCTGCATTTTTGTGCTGAAGAAGAGCCTTTTCTCTTTCTAATTGTCTTAATGATGATTCCACATTTTTCCTCAAAGTAATCTGAAATAATGCTTGAGGTTATTATCGAAAGGAAGTATGTATAAAAATCAAATCAAAACAGTAACTAAATTATTTCAAACAGGTAAAAGTGATCTAAAAAAGTTATTAACTGCTTTGTTATTAAAACTTTATTAATGGTTTCTGTGTTCGTAAAATAAAATATTTACTATCTAAAGTCAAACTTTCCCTCACTACTAAATCATCATTAATTAATAATAAATGAGTCTCAAATGTGATGAATAGCAATTTAAAAACAAACAATGCTAACTTTCTGTTTTTAAATCATATTATTAACCACAATACGAATGCTTATTGTCTTACTTGGAACATCTACAGGCACTAACTTAATTTGCGTTTGTGAAACTGACACCTATAACCGGGTCATCCTATCGCGTTAGTTCTATCCACCACTGCTACAGGGTTGCTCTGACTACACATGGAGATGCACGTCCCGACGGCCCTGAGAGAACTCTGGAGAACTCGCACATCCCGCAGAGCTGCCTTACCTCTTCCTCTAGCTCCTTGATCGTCTTCTCTAGGCGAGCGTTAACAGATCTAAAGAATTTCAGAAAGAAACAGTAAAATCACTCTCCCATTTATAATGAAAACATAGCTGTCAATTTTTAAATAATTTATGATTACGTCGTAGCTCTCTCTCAGTAAGAGGTATAGACAACTTTTCAATAGAACATCTAATTATCTAAAAACCTACTTGCACTTCTGCTCTAGCTCCTCTTTGGCTTGGATCTCATTGCTAAGGTGTTCTTCTAATGTATACAGTTTTTTCTGAATCTGCTGAAAAATCAGAAATCGATTATAAGTCTTGTCACACTAAAGACGAGAGGATTAAGAAAACAATGAAGAGCTTACTTCGTCTTTTCACTTATATAATCTCTTCTCTAATGGTTCGTCATTTTTACTTTCTTAATGCAACTTTAATTGACAGAGAAAAACCCAACCACCCTTCTTGCTTTCTCTTTTTCAGAGTGCAAACACCCTTATGCAAACATGAATGAGCAGCTCTAACTTTGGCAGAATTTGTCTGATACCAAATTTCAAATCTGTTATAAATCAAAGACCATTCTGGCATCCTGTTCTGCTCTCCTATGAATTATTTCAAAATACTATCATTGTTTGAACTTATTAAAAAAGACAAAAGGTTAGTGTCTGCAACCAATACTCAGAGTATCCAACCGAACATACTCAAAATTAGATGACTATTCTTACAGATAAGAACACATGCTCTTCTTTGTCTTCCTACACAGTGCTGGGCGTAGTGCTATGAAGAGCTGCGATAAGAACACATGCTCTTCTTTGTCTTCCTATACTGGGCGTAGTGCTATGAAGAGCTGTAGCCAGTGACTCTTGTATAAATTACAGCTAATTAATTATAAGTCACTGCCTCAGTAGCTTTCTCTAGCTATGTCTTTCTTCAAACAAACGAAAATTACAAAAACTATCAAGTAATCCATTTTTAGACTTTGTTTCCTTTGTAGAACACTGCAGTTTTGAGTTACCTTTACTGTATAGTGTCAGATACACTATCAATGCTGTCTCATCAATCCTAACAAAAACCTGGAGAAGGATTATATCTACTTGATGATTAAAAAAAAAAGAAAAACCAACAAAAACTGAAATTAAACAAGGTGAATAACCAGGCCAAGATAGCACTCATTAAATCAACCCAGGTCTGTTACACGCCAATTCCAATGTTCTTTCCACTATTCTTTCTGATGATGAGGTTTTCTGTGATTTCTAAATTATTATTTCTTTTTGGCTAGAGGTCACATGCGCTCACCAGAGAGAAACAGAGAGACAGAGAGTGGAGAAGGGAGAAGGAGAAAGCAACCCAGTGGGGTAGTTATGCTGCAGTTCCTTCTCCTCCATGCTCCCGACCTGTCAGGACTGTGGCAGGCACACACAGGCCTGGCAGGTCTTTCAAGCCTACAGGCGTCAGCCTGTGGGATCTGCTCCCCCGGTCACAAGGCCATGGGCAGGTCTAATATCTCACACATCTTGACAAAAACTATTTTCCCATAGTGAGACTACACAGGCTAACACACCATCACGTGTAACTGCTCTGGGCTGCTGCAGCGTTGGTCTAATGTGAGCACACTAGTTCGCACAGGGGAATCAGAAATTCTTGCTGCCCATTTTATATCCTTGATAAATAAAAACAAGAACAGAACATTATCTATATATAAAATGACAAATCCATAAGAGCAATAATAAAAGGGATACTCAGTGTAACAAATGCTGGGAACTTCTCTCCAAAAGCGAGGTAAGATATGACTATATTAAATATTGCTAGACTGATGTCTCTCAGTTTTCAATGTTTTTGACATCAACATACCTCTTGGCTTTCCTGTTTAAAACAAAACAAGACACACAGAAAACATTAATATACTTGCTCTGCTTTGTAAAATTCCTAAAACTCAAAATTATCAAACTACTTTTTTAGTTTTCTTAAGTTTGAAGAAAAAACACTTAGCATTGTCATGTATGTGTGTGTGTGTGTGTGTGTGTGTATGGTTTAACTTCATGTAGTTACAAATTATACAGGTCACAAAATACTGTAACAGATTGATAAATTACCCTTTAAGAACTCATTCCTAAATGCCTAGAATTTGATTCTCTCCCGTATTTCTATTAACTTATAGCTGAACATCAATAATCTTTTACAGTGCGAAGGTTTTCCTAACTGGTATTCCAGCTACTTATAAACCTATTTTATTACTTTCGCTCTAAACCAAACCTAATGCCATGTATAATTGATCTTTTTACAAGCCATTATGTCTTGAGCAATGACATTACTCAGATAAGAATCATTTCAACATTATGATGTATCGTATTGTGCCAGAAATGCCACTGCATGATGGAAAAACAGTACTGAATAAACTTTTTAAAAACATGGGTATTACTAAAATACTTGAACATGTGATTAAAATAACTAGGGCAGTAAAAATCTAGACATACTTCATTTTTTCTTGATTGTATTGAATCATTTTCTCTACAAGATGGAGAGTCACTTAATAACCTAGAATAAAGGAAAGAGAAAATAAACCTTTTTAGATTTTAACCCATTTTCTGTCTTATTCCACCAACTTACTGTCAAAATTAAATGTCAACAGTTAAGATTTATTTTCCTTTTCACATAATATTTTAAATAAAGTAATATTTTCCCTCTTGACATTAATACCGTCTTCAGTCATTGAAAACACTAAACTTTTCTTGTCTCTCTGGCTAACTGAATGGCCCGGTCTTTAATTATGTTGCAAGGGAGTGGCTAAGTGGAACTACACCTCCCTCCTCTTTACTTGAGATTCGATAACTATGGAGGACCTCTGAACAGTGGGGAATTAGGGGTACTGACCACTATAGTCAAAAATCCATGTAGAACTTTGAACTCCCCCAAACTTTACTAGCAGTCTAGTATAGACAGGAAGCCATACTGATAGTATGAGCAGTCGATGAAAACATATTTTATATTGTGACACGTATTATATACTGCATTCTTACAATAAAGCAAGCTAGAGAAAGGAAAATGAAATTAAATGTCAACAGTTAAGATTTATTTTCCTTTTCACATAATATTTTAAATAAAGTAATATTTTCCCTCTTGACATTAATACCGTCTTCAGTCATTGAAAACACTAAACTTTTCTTGTCTCTCTGGCTAACTGAATGGCCCGGTCTTTAATTATGTTGCAAGGGAGTGGCTAAGTGGAACTACACCTCCCTCCTCTTTACTTGAGATTCGATAACTATGGAGGACCTCTGAACAGTGGGGAATTAGGGGTACTGACCACTATAGTCAAAAATCCATGTAGAACTTTGAACTCCCCCAAACTTTACTAGCAGTCTAGTATAGACAGGAAGCCATACTGATAGTATGAGCAGTCGATGAAAACATATTTTATATTGTGACACGTATTATATACTGCATTCTTACAATAAAGCAAGCTAGAGAAAGGAAAATGTTATTAAGAAAATCATAAGGAAGAGAAAATAGTTACAGTATTTAAGAAAAAAAACCCACAAAAACCCACATGTAAGTGGACTTGCACAGTTCAAACCTATGTTGTGCTAGGGCCAGCTATGTTTTCCTCCTTTCCTACCTCATCTTCCAGAAAACAGATACCTGCCGTCAATGACATCTCCTGATCTCCAGGTCTTAGTACCTAAGCCATCACTGCTGTTTTACCATCACTTTCGCTCTCTCGGCAGGCCCTTTCCTACTCCCTATGAGCATGCTTGGGTTTCCCTCCGCACTGAGGTCCTCGTGTTGGTCAGCATCACAATTGCTCTTCAGAGCGTCAGCATTACTGTGGTAACATCGGCATTACTGTGGTAACATCGGCATTACTGGGGTAACATTGGCATTACTGCGGTAACATCGGCATTACTGGGGTAACATCGGCATTACTGATTTGCCTGGAATGTTCTTGGTTTTAAAAGTCCCGTGCCACATCTTAGGAAAGCCCTCAGTCCTCTGGGCAAATTTAAATGGTTAGTTATTCTAACCATAGACTGATATACCAAGAGTCTGTCAAGGCTATGTTTCTCAAATGTTTTTAAGGGCGCATTCAACCATTTAATAGTTTTCAACGGCTCTTCACTGCGTATCATTCTAAAATCCCTTAGCAGTGCGCAACAAGAGTCAAAAGTTTGTATTATTCTCCCCATAAACTCCAATTCGAATCTATTTTTTGATGTCATGTCGATTGACCAGTATTTTCTGAATGACCCTGTACCAGGCTCTGCACTAGCTGCAGGGATTACGGATTAGAAAATGACAGTTACATCGAGTCCTTAGACACGCTCCATGCTGAGCCTACTGGGCCTCAGGACTCCACTCTGTGCTTATGTCGGGCTCCTCTGCTTCCACTAGGAACCCCACTGCTCCCCCGACCTCCTCACTACTCCGCCACTCAAAACCCTTTTCTCATCACTAGACTACATGAGATAACATCTCTTTCTTCGGGTCTTATCTGACTTCTTCCTATTCCAACCCAAAAAAGTACTTTTTTCTTCAGAACCACTTTATTCTCTTAGCCATCTTTCATGAGGCGAATAGTACATTCCATTCTTCTTTACTACTATCTAATATTCTTACATCTTTCATGGTACGACAAGTCCCTCAAAAGCAGATTTTCGAGCCGACTCTATATCTCCAAAAGAACTAAAACAGTGATGTGAAATTATTTGTAAATTAATGCCATAGAACTTTCAAAACTAAATAATAAAATAACATTAAAACGAATTCTTTTGGTAGTCCTTCTGAAAAAACTTGAAGTTTAAAATAAATTAACACTGTTATCTTCTATAATGCAGTCTCAATATAAAACACCACCTAATAACTAGACTCTGAATACTTAACAAACACATCACATACAAATTTTCTCTGTAGTAGGTGAATCCTATAAAAGGCAGCTGATTTCCCACAAAAGCTTTAGGAATTGGGAAAGTTTCTACATCTCCTTTATCATCTTCGATGTCATCAAAATTGCTGCTGTCTATGTCACTGCTGAGCTCAGGGACCACAGGAGCTGCCGCTATCAAAAGAAAAGAAATGAATTACTTCATTCATAACCTAGATAGAAGATATGGACATCCCCTATATTTAGTATATTATTAATATGTATTAATTAATAACATTATGATCAGTGCCTTGGCTTACTATATAAAATTTTAGTAACACTACTTCTATCTTATCATTTCACAGAATTAAAATTACGTAACTAACCTATTGCTAAATTAGTCAGTTTTAAAAAAAGACTAATAAATTAAACAAGAAAAGCATTAGGTATTATTCTAAGTGTTAAAAATTACAAGAGGTCAGGGGCCAGCGAGTGGCATGGTGGTTGGGGCACTGGACTTCCATATGGCTGACCACGGTTTGAGTCCTTGACCAAGCAGCTTGCTTTCTCGCTTTCTCTTTCTCTCTCTGGTCAAATTAAAAACTAATAATAACCAATGGAATTAGATAAATAAATATTCTTTTAAAAAAGTACAGGCAGCACTAACTTGCAGATAGTCTTTAGAGTCCTCCGTTTTTTCTACCTTCTTCAAGTAAAAGTATTTCTTACTCTTAAACTGAATTGGTGTCAAATATTCGTAAAATAAACATAAAATATTATGCTACCCCTAGTATTTACCAGAAAATAGTCTCCATAATACTTGCTGATTTATCAAGTCAAACACATTCAAATGAAAGGATTATATTCCCCCTTCCTGAACATTGCTGATATCCAGAAACCTGGCAAAGTTAGAAATGTATAATGTATACTACAGAACGTTGAGAAATACTGCTAATATATATTAGTTTGCTAAGATACTGGGTAGATACTAATTTAGTTATAAATATTGCATGGAATAAATTTGAAATGAAATCTCTCAATTTGGAAATTAGTATTATTTGTATCAAATATGGTTGCTATTTTAAAAGACCAATTACTGTGTGAGATTTAAATTGTGATGGAATGAAAGTATTTAGACGTATTGACTTACTCTCTCTTATGTTATCCCAATTCCACTGATCGTTCTTAAAGAAAGGGTGCTGTTTAATTTCTTCGACTCCATTTCTCCCGAGTCGTACCTCCCTAAACAATGTGGTTAAAGACTGTATTACAAAAAAATCCAATTATGAAAAAATAAAAACATTAAATCTTATTCAGTTTAACTGAAATACAGACCACAGATGAGAGTGAGATATTATTATCAAACCCTTCAGCATGGGACCAGCACATGGTGTGGTAGTTGAAGTGCGGTTCGAGTCCTGGATCTGGAGAGTCTCCATCTCACCCTCCCTCTGTCTCTCTCTGTCTCTCTATTTCCCTGGCAAAACTCAAGTGAAAAAAATAATAAATAAATGAATAAAATAATTAATTTTTAAAAAGCTTCAGCTTAAATGTTTCTCAAAAATAAGCAATTCCAATTTACACATACGTGATGTCTTCAGATAAATTATAACGACTGTGATGTACAGTGTCATTAAAAGTGAATTACATTTCCATCTGCAGCTTTATCAAATGAATGTGCATGTGAGACTCTTAAGTTTAAAAAAAAAAAATCTGCATGTGCCCAAATCATTTGACCAACTAACTTCACAACATAAATAAAGCCTAACTTTTGGCACGGAAAAATTATTCAAATCCTCCCTAATTAGAAATACCTATTTTTTAATCTCTCCCTTTCTTAAAAAGAACTCACATCTTATATTTGGAGCTATCCATATTTACTGATCAATTATATCTCTGAATTTATATTCAAATTATCATCTGAACACAAGAAAAATGTTACTAAGAATGTCATTCTTTGACCCTCTGAATCGTCACTGAAGACTGTATGGGAATAAAGGCATGTATTCCAGGTATGCCCTGGAGCCACGGTTATCACAAACAGGAAACCTGTAGACTTTAAAGAGAGGTGCTCTTTGCCACATTTATTACATTAAAATATTCTCAAAAATATCTGTGTTCTGCCTACCACCATTCTTCACTGCAAAAGCAAATCTTTCACAAATATTACTCCCTTCGTTAACATGTGCTGCATACCCTGCTTTGTAATTGACTGTTCAGGACGAATTATGGTTATCTCTACCAGCTCCATTTCACCACCAAATCAAACATAACCTGTCCAGGCTGTTCTGACTTTATTGGCATCGACTACTTATTAATTATATAATTAGCAAATTGTAAAGTTTTACTCTTTAAATGATTGATAAACACAAAGACAATTTATCTTTTCTAATAAAGAGAAAATAACTTCTCAGGGCCAGCAGGTAGCATGGTGGTTAAGGCGCTGGACCCCCACATGGCCAACCGCAGTTTGAATCTTGGACCTGGTGGCTTACTTTCTCACTTTCCCCTCCCCCCAACCCTGGTCAAACTGAAAAATAATAATAATTAAAATAAAGTAATTAAAAAAAAATTTTTTTAACAAGGTGAAACAACTACTCATGCCTCTGATAAAAATTTTTTTTCAACAGTTTGATGAGAGGAAAATAATTATTGGTAGTGGAAATGCACACTGGTATAGCATCTCCAGAGGTCAATGCATCGTCATTCAATTTTAAAGAATCAAAGAGTTGTACCTTTAAGATTGTAATCCTAGGCCAGTCGTGTTGCCTAGTGATTGAGAGAGCTGGATCCCACATAGCTGACCAGCAGCTTAAAAACATGCCAGGCATGTATGTGTGCCCAAATCCCAGCAAGGATGGAGAAATGGAGGAGAAGGGACAGTGAGACCATGCTCTTTTTTTTTTCCCCCCTTTTCCCCTGCCTCTCTCTGGCAAGTCCACCATTCTCTGGCAATTAAAAAAAATTTTTTTTTAGCCTACGGAAGGTATGCAAAGATATAACAGTAACTAGTTAAACAATAAGGATGCTAAGGAACTACAGCATATTAGAGCTAAAAATGTCCCTAGTTATCTTAGCTGAGCCCATCGATTTACCAGTGAGTAAAAGTACTTTCCAGAAAGTAAAATAATTTCCCCAAGCTCACAAAGCTGCTGAGTGAAAGACTGTACTAGGGTATTACAGTTCTGTCCTTTGACAGTGATTCCTACCGCAGAACTAAAGTGCGAAATCAGAAAATTACTGAATAGAGACCAAGGAAGAAAAATAAGTTTCCTAGCTTCTTTTTTTATTTTTTTTGAGGCAAATTCTCGTATTTTTGTTCACCTACTTGTTTTTTAAAATACAGAATTTCCAGGACAGACTTGCTCATATACAAATGCAAATTTTAAAAAAAGGCTGGGAAGGAGGCACTTCCAGGGCAAACACAAGCAATTTCTAAGACCATAACCTGCTAAGTAATTATGGACACAGAATGCTCTCCTCTCCAAAACTGTACAGTCAAGAGTAACACAGACTGGGAACCAGCAGTTAGCGTAATGGCTATGTCGCTGGACTCCCACAGTCGACCGCGGTTCGCGTCCCGGACCCGGTGGCTTAAAACTCACGCGGGGCGCGTGTGCGTGTGTGCCCAAGATCCCGAGAGGAGAATGGAGGAGAAGGGATTGCGGCGTGACCATCCCCCCTGGGGGGTGATTTCTCGCTTTCTGTCTCTCTGTCTATCTCTGTCTGTCTGGCGAGCGCAAGTGCTCTATAGCGAAAACCTCTCCAAAAAAAAAGAGTAACACAGACTGTCACCACCTCAGAGGGTAAAATGAGATCAAACACTTTATTTTTTTCAAATGTATTATTTTACCAAGTCCCATGCTTTCTTTTGTGAGTTAGATTACAAGTAGGCTGCACACGCAAAATTGCAAGGGTATCCCGACACCAGGCTTAGCAGCAGGAAAAAGCTAACTCAGAACTACATGCGAATTAGACAACGAGAGAAAGAGGCTGGTTTCAGATGCAGGTAAGTTCGATATGCTTTCATTTCTACAAATTTCAAAGTAAAAGGTCTTCTCTACAAATAAATTAAATGTACATTACACATTACCTATCGGTTAAGAAGGCACAGATGAGATTCTTCGCATGCTTTGAAATTTCTGCATCTTCAGGAAAACATAATGAATTCTTATGATCCATGATTTTGCTATATGTTCCTACAAGTGAATCTGCATAAAATGGAGTATCCCCTAAAATTACAAGAAAGAATATATTAAGTAGAATAGAAAGTACAAACTAAACACTTATCGTCGCCTAACATATTTTTCTTTTTTAAAATAGAATTATTTTGTTATTATTTTGTTTACTTTTAATTTGACCAGAGAGAGACAGAAAAAAAGAAAGCGAAAGTGAGAAAGCGAGCCGGCAGGTCCGAGTCTTGAACTGCGACCCACTATAACCACCACGCCACACGCGGGACCCTCATCTAACATTTAAACATGTTAAGTTTACATGTTCGCACACAGAGGGATGAATGGTGCAGGGGTCAGAGATCCCCACAGAAATGACGCCTACACAAAGAGCATGTGTGAACTTCAGCCAGGCCTCCGCACGCGGCCTTAAAGCTAAAGTACAACCTGCGTGAATCCGGGAACTTGTTGGGTGTTTAAAAACAAAGGCAAGAAAACTATTTACTGAATAACTCAAGACAAAGATTCTGAAGTGCGGTGGGACTCGTCACAGCCCTTCAATGCTTTGGCTGGCCCGGCATCTTGAATCTTGAGATCACGGTGGACGTGCGACACAACAGCCACCAGCCGGGTGGCGGGACTTCACAGGGAAACTGAAACTAAAGAAAATGGAAGAGGCTGTGTTCTAGGTTCACTAGTCACACTTTAAATGCTTGGTGTGGCCGTGACTACCACACTTGATGGTGCAGGTGTGAGTCACTGCCATCAAGACGGCTGGGCCGGGCTGCTCTGGGAGTTAGAACTACTCAAGCATTCTGTGCGGGAGGAAGCTAGCCCCCAGGAGAGCGTGTGAGCTGCCTAAGACTGGAAAGTGGAGAAATGGTCTCTCGATGCAGTACTCCTGTTGATAAGGCCATGGGAAAGAGGCGCAGAAGCAAGTGTACAGATGGGAAAGGCTGAGGCACCACCCTCACCACCAGCCTCTACAACCACGGGGCGGGAGCAGGTGGCATGGTGCTGAGGGCGCGCCACTCCCACATGACCGACCGCAGTTTGCGTCAGGACCTGGCAGCCTGCTTTCTCACTTTCCTTCTCTCTCTCTGACTTTCTCTGGTCAAATTTAAAAACTAATAACAATAATAATAAACAACGAGAGAAAGAGGCTGGTTTCAGATGCAGGTAAGTTCGATATGCTTTCATTTCTACAAATTTCAAAGTAAAAGGTCTTCTCTACAAATAAATTAAATGTACATTACACATTACCTATCGGTTAAGAAGGCACAGATGAGATTCTTCGCATGCTTTGAAATTTCTGCATCTTCAGGAAAACATAATGAATTCTTATGATCCATGATTTTGCTATATGTTCCTACAAGTGAATCTGCATAAAATGGAGTATCCCCTAAAATTACAAGAAAGAATATATTAAGTAGAATAGAAAGTACAAACTAAACACTTATCGTCGCCTAACATATTTTTCTTTTTTAAAATAGAATTATTTTGTTATTATTTTGTTTACTTTTAATTTGACCAGAGAGAGACAGAAAAAAAGAAAGCGAAAGTGAGAAAGCGAGCCGGCAGGTCCGAGTCTTGAACTGCGACCCACTATAACCACCACGCCACACGCGGGACCCTCATCTAACATTTAAACATGTTAAGTTTACATGTTCGCACACAGAGGGATGAATGGTGCAGGGGTCAGAGATCCCCACAGAAATGACGCCTACACAAAGAGCATGTGTGAACTTCAGCCAGGCCTCCGCACGCGGCCTTAAAGCTAAAGTACAACCTGCGTGAATCCGGGAACTTGTTGGGTGTTTAAAAACAAAGGCAAGAAAACTATTTACTGAATAACTCAAGACAAAGATTCTGAAGTGCGGTGGGACTCGTCACAGCCCTTCAATGCTTTGGCTGGCCCGGCATCTTGAATCTTGAGATCACGGTGGACGTGCGACACAACAGCCACCAGCCGGGTGGCGGGACTTCACAGGGAAACTGAAACTAAAGAAAATGGAAGAGGCTGTGTTCTAGGTTCACTAGTCACACTTTAAATGCTTGGTGTGGCCGTGACTACCACACTTGATGGTGCAGGTGTGAGTCACTGCCATCAAGACGGCTGGGCCGGGCTGCTCTGGGAGTTAGAACTACTCAAGCATTCTGTGCGGGAGGAAGCTAGCCCCCAGGAGAGCGTGTGAGCTGCCTAAGACTGGAAAGTGGAGAAATGGTCTCTCGATGCAGTACTCCTGTTGATAAGGCCATGGGAAAGAGGCGCAGAAGCAAGTGTACAGATGGGAAAGGCTGAGGCACCACCCTCACCACCAGCCTCTACAACCACGGGGCGGGAGCAGGTGGCATGGTGCTGAGGGCGCGCCACTCCCACATGACCGACCGCAGTTTGCGTCAGGACCTGGCAGCCTGCTTTCTCACTTTCCTTCTCTCTCTCTGACTTTCTCTGGTCAAATTTAAAAACTAATAACAATAATAATAAATAAAATAAAATAACTCTTTAAAAATAATAATAATAAAACCACCAGGGCTAGCGGTCCTGCCACGGCATGCCTATACCACAAGTAACTTTAGTGTAAACCAGACCTTCCCATATCAGCCAACCCAAAAGTTCAAAACGGGTATTCGGGTAGCTATTTTTTGTATGTTTTCAAAGGTGGGTGAAGAGGAGCTTCGAATTCAAGATTTTCTTGTGCCATTTTCATAAATAGAACCCATTAAATGAAGTCCAGTGCCAACCAACCAGAGCACACTCCCCACGGGCTCAGAACACTGCAGATCTCTGCCATTCAAACTCAACCCCAGCTCTCACAGTTGAAAACAGTGGGGGGAATTTAAATAGGATTTTGAACTTTTCAAATGAGCCAAGTCACTTCCTCAAAAGCACCTCACTTTCTAAATCCCTAGGAGAGTTTAGGCAACTAAGGGAATATAGCCCATACTTTCAAACAATTACGAGATACAACCAAATGCATCGGATCAGGGCAGAGTGAAAAAACAGCTGCCTGAGACCACAGAGTCCACAGAGCCTCAGCACAAAGACAAAGGCCCAAGACGAAGCAGGTCATACTGCGACAGGAGGAGGAGCGAACACCATCAGTGCTACTCACACAAAATGGCATCGACACGAGGCTTTGCTCTTCTTTTCTCTTTTGCTATAGGGTGCATGCACTCACAGGAGAGACAGAGAGACAGAAAGAAAGAAAGCACCCCCCAGAGGGGATGGCCATGCTGCGATCCCTTCCCTCCATTTTCCTCTCAGGATTTCGGGCACACATGCACACACACCTGGTGTGAGTTTTAAGCTTTCTGGTTAAGGGACTCAAACTGCAGTCAAATACGTGGGAGTCCAGCAACATAACCATTAAGCCATCTGCTGGTCCCAAGGCTATTTTTAAATTTTTGCTATAGGGCATGTGTGCTCACCAGAGAGAGATAAAGAGACAGAGAAAAGGAGGGAAAGTAAGAAAGTACCCCTCAGGGGTGATGGCCTCATCACCATCCCTTCTCCACTCTCCTTTAAGGATTTGGGGCATGTGCCCAGGCACCCAGCTTGTGTTTCAAGCTGCCAGGTCAGGGACTCAAACCACAGTTGGCCATGTGGGATCCAACCATCTAAACCACCATGCCACTGGCTGGTCCAGAAAAGGGAATTTATGGCACCAAAAAGTTCTATAGTAATTCCTATTTAAATTTGGGATTTAACAAAAATACCTGATTATTTTAGCAATAACCATCCTCTATTATTGTACAGATTTTATACTACCAATTTCTTGTTGTTAAAGAATTATTTGATTTTTTTTTAAGATTTTTTTCGATTTATTACAGGACACACACACTCACCAGAAAGAGAGAGAAAGAGACAGAAAAAGAAAGGAAAAGTAGAAAGCAAGCCACCAGGTCCGAGACTCCAACTGTGTTTGGCCATGTGGGAGTCCAGTGTCCTAATCACCATGCCACCTGTTGGCCCCTATTACTATTATTTCTTTTAATTTTGCTATAGAGAACACATGCTCACCAGAGACAGAGAGAGATAAAAAGAGAAAGAGAGAGAGAGAGAGCTGCCAGCCTTTCACATTTTGATTTGGTTAAAATAAGAGAAAGTTTTGCTGTCGGGCATGTGTGCTTGCCAGAGAAAGAGACACAGAATGAGAAAGTGAGAAACCACCCTCCCAAAAGGATGGCCATGCCACAGTGCTTTCTCCTCCATTCTCCTCTCAGGATCTTAGGCATGCACACATGGGTGCCCAGTGTGAGTTTTAAGCCACTGGGTCTGGGACTCAAACCATAGTCGGGCACGTGGGATCCAGAGACATAACTATTATGCCATCTGCTGGTCCTCTAATATTTTATTTTTTTAAGTCTAATAGCGAACTATTTCCCAGCAATATATTTCCAGTTCCTTTCATGTTGCACTTATTCTTCTCAATCACTGCCCATAACAGACTTGGTATTAACTTTCCTGTTAGCAAACTGTCATGTCAAATACACTCCTTCCTTGGTATCTGTGGAGAACTGGCTCCAGGAGCTCATGCAGAGACTAAAACCCCCGTGAGTAACACAGCACAGGATCTGGATATAACCTCCGCACCTGCAGCCCTCACCTGTGGGTCATCGCTGGAGTAACTCACACGACCCAGGACTGCATAAACGGTTGTTACACTACATTCCTATTTCTAATATTTCATAGTTGTATCATTTTCATTTTATTGTTTTCTTTCCCAAATATTCATAGTTCAATTCACAGATGTGGAACCCAAGGATACAGAGAGCTGACTGAACTACTAATTAGAGGTTCCAGGAATTTCAATTCATCCCTAGGACACAGGTAATCATTTTTTTTATAGTTTCAAATTCCTAACTTAAAGAGCTATAAAATGCTTTGGATAAAAAAACAAAAGTTGGGGCGAGGTAGGAGGGGCTGAGGAAAAAAGTGTTTAACAGACACAGGAATATAGAAAGAAGGGGCAACACTGGTTGTAGAATATTATTCATACACACACACACACACACTATATATATCTACATGATTGAGACACCTGTATAAATAGCCATCTACATATCCCTATCTATCTCTCTGTATGTATATAGATACAGATAGCTGTATCTAAATAACTGTGCCTATAGACACCTGTATCTGTATATCTATATCTCAAAAAGAAGAAAAGAGGGAGGGAGGGAGGAGGAAGGAAGACCAGCAGAGCAAAAACTACCGGTACCCAGAATGTGTGCTGTGCAGAGAACGATGAACATGATAGTATCCTTGGTTTGATTACTGCACACTGCACGCATGCTTTGGAAATCTGCATTATACCCCACAGAGATGTACAAGGAAATGTAAACAGAAAATTATAAAAGAGGAAAAAAATGAAAATATTTACTTACCCACTAGCATCTCAAAAAGGAAAACACCTACAGACCACCAATCACATTCTCGCCCATAGTAACCATCACCCCCTTGAGATTTCAGAACCTCAGGTGATATATAATCAGGTGTCCCAACTGCTGTGTCACAGTGTACCATGCCTGCCTAGGTAAACAGCAAAGATAAAAAACAGGTCAGTGTAAGACCACATGTAAGGGAAACTAACTCGTTTATTGTACATACAGTGCCGAATATGCTGCCAACAGAGCTTCACTGCTGTGGGATAGAGGATAAATGCAGTGTGAAATGCATAGGAATGTGCAGATTATCAAGGATAATTTTCAGCTCATAAAATAAAGAACACTTCCTGAATGAAAAAAAGGAAATCTCTCTCCAAAGAGATTCCATGCAAACTAACTTTTGTTTCTTTTTCTTACTTCTCACACTGTAAACTAGTACTATAAAATGTGGTCTTAAGGTACTTGGCTTGGGAGAAAGAAGAGTCCTTAGAGACAGGAAGTTTTGTTATCTCCATAAGGAACTGAAGCAGTTAAGATGACAAAGGGGCCAGCAGGTGGCATGGTGGTAAAGGCACTAGATCCCACATGGCTGAATCCACGGTTCAAGTCCCAGACTCCATGGCTTGAAAAACACACTAGGTGTGCCTATGCACATATGCCCAAAATACTGAGAGGAAAATAGAGGAGAAGGGATTGTGGCATGGCCATCTCCCCGAGGGTGATCATTCCCTGTCTGTCTCTTTCCTGCAAGTATAACATCATATGGCAAAAATCTTTAAAAACAAACAAACAAAACGATAAAAGACTAAGGGCCCTCTTTGGAAGTTGTAACAATAAATGGTTCTTATTTATCAGGATACTTGATAAGGATAAGAAGCGTGACGGGGCTGTGCGTGTGCTGCGAAGCGGCCTCACTAAGTGGTGCAGCGCTACGTAACATCCTTTCCCCACGACCTTCACCCAGCTGGCACAGGTTGTAAAATTAATTTCACGGCTCTTCATTTTCTTTACTCATATTTCTTATAAACAAAATATAAAACCAACTAAAATAGTAAGTATTATGATCATGTTGGAAAAGAAAGTTCAACATATTTTGTAAACATGATTTATTTAATTTTTTATTGAAGTGCTATAAAATGTGTTAGACATGTGAATTGCTTCAAAAACAATCTCATTATTCATCCTCAAATCAGGAAAAATAACTCATAGATTTTATTTTTCCAAGCATATGTCAAATAAAAAACAGAAGTCATTTTAGTTTGAACATAATTTTTTTTTTAATTTATGAAAATAACTGATCAAACCATCAGAGTAACACTGTGTGTGAATTACTTCATCCACACAAAGATGAACAAGACAGTGCCGAAAAGGCCAGAGGTGGCATGGAGGTTAAGGCACTGGATCCCACATGGCTAGCTGCACAGTTCGAGTCCCAGACCTAGTGGCTTGAAAAATCATGCCATGCGTGTGCGCGTGTGCATGAAATCCCAAGAGAAGAATGGAGAAGAAGGGACTGTGGTGTGGCAACCCTCCTGGGGGGTGACTTCTCACTTTCCCTCTGTCTGTTTCTCTCTGGCAAGGGCATGCATTCTATAGCAAACTAACCAAAGAGGGGGTGCAGTGAGTGGGTGCCAGGCTGCGCAGATTCCCAGGATCGTGGGGCCAGGAATCTCACATGCCGGGTGCACTCAGGCCCAGGATCCTGGCTGGCTGAGAGTAAAAGTGGATTGTAGGACCATTTGGGGTCCTCCCTTTGCTTGCCTCGCTCGTTCTCTCTGATTAATTTTTTTTTAAAAAAGAATTATTTTACTTAACTTTATTTATTTTAATTGGACCAGAGAGGGAGAAAGAGAAAGAGAGCAGGCTGCCAGGTCCAAGCCGCCAGGTCTGGGACTCAAACTATGGTTGGCCATGTGGGAGTCCAGTGCCCTTAACCATCAGGCCACCTGTTGGACCCTCTCTCTGATGAATTTAAAAAAAAAAAAAAATCCATTAAAAAAATAGTTTGACCATTTGTTTTCACAGATAAGGGGTTGTCAAACTTTTCTTATACAGAGTCAGGCATACAGATTTTAAGCTTTCTGCGCCACAAAGGGTGTGCTGTACATTTTTATTCCCTTTTTTTGTTTTTAGTTTATTTCTTTTATGATAGTGTGAGAGTGAAAAAGACATGCACCTTCAATAGGGTTTTTCACCACAGCCTCCAGGCCCCACTCCCCACGAGCTTTCCCAGGATCGTGGCTGTGGCTCCTGGCATGTGAAAATTGAGCCACGAACCACACCTGCACACTTCCACAGGGACCACCTCACCTGAGTGGTAGGTTACAAGTCACTACTGAACTGGCCCTCTTCCTCCTTTTTTAAACATGTAAAAATAATTTTTAGCACGTAAGTGGTATAAAACCAAGCCACTGGCCAGATTTAGCCTGACCTCCAGCTTGCCAATCCTGTTACAGGTCAGTGAGAAAGAACTTGGAGCACTTCTCAGGGCCCTGGTAGGGTAGCCGTGACCAAGGGCAAGCACCAAGCAATGACCCTGAAACTTGCAATAAGACTCTTTGTATTAACAACTAGCAAAATTATAAATTCTAGGTAGTGTAGTTCTTAATTTAAATAAACTCCTTTGTTACTAGAATCATGCTCTTTAGTAACATCACTTAAGAGTTGAAGGCTTGGAGTAAAACAACCAGCTTTTTTCAAGTTCAGTACTTTTAACATCTTTTGTTCTTAAATCAATCACAGATAACGCGGGAGGAGAGAACACCCTGACAGAGCTCGATCACGCCATGACCCCCTTTCCCCACCCCTCCAGCTCTTTAGAATCCGGGGCACCCAAATGCCTGGCATATTTTCAGGCCAACCTGGGGATCTGAACTTGTGGTCATCCATAGGCTTCCAGCCCTGCGGGACATTTGGTTACTGTGGCACCACAGCAGCTGAGCCTGTTCTTCACTACACTGGGATTAAGGATGTTTATTGAGATGCAGACACAGCTAGGTAGCAGACTGGAAGATGTCATCAGCAATATCTGTGGAATCACTGCCTGCATTATATAAGGAATTCCTGTACATCAACAGGAAGCCAAGTTTTTGTTTGTTTGTTTGTTTTTAAGGTTTTTGCTATAGGGCATGTATGTTTGCTAGAGAGAGAGACACAATGAGAGGGGAAGTGAGAAATCACCCCCCTCAGTTGGGATGCCCACACCACGATTCTTTCTCTTCCGTTCTCCAGGGATTTGGGGCACACATGTGCACACGCCTGGCATAATTTTCAAGATGTCAGGTCCGGAACTCAAACCAGGGTCAGCCATGTGGGGGTCGGACGCCTTATCCACTATGCCACGCGCTGCCCTATAAGAAGCCAGTTTTTTGTTTGTTTGTTTGTTTTTAAAATAACGGTTTTTGCCTTGGGGTATATGTGCTCACTGGAGAGAGAGAGAAAGAGACAGAGACAGTGAGAGAGAAAGTGAGAAATCATGCCCAGGGAGGAACAGCCATGCCACAATTTCTTCTCCTCCACTCTCCTCTTAGGACCTGCCAGGTCCAGGACTCAAACCATGATCAGCTATGTGGGAATACAGTGCCTTAACCACCACATCACTTGTTAGCTCCTACAAGAAGCCAATATGAAAAGTATCAAAGGACAAAAAAAGAAAAGGAAGGGACGGAAAAAGAGAACAATGATGGGGCCAGCAGGTGGCATGGTGGTTAAAGGCACTAGACTTCCACATGGCGACTGCCGTTAAAGTTCCAGACCTAGTGGTTTGCTTTCTCTTTTTCCCTTTGCCACAATTTCTTCTCCTCCACTCTCCTCTTAGGACCTGCCAGGTCCAGGACTCAAACCATGATCAGCTATGTGGGAATACAGTGCCTTAACCACCACATCACTTGTTAGCTCCTACAAGAAGCCAATATGAAAAGTATCAAAGGACAAAAAAAGAAAAGGAAGGGACGGAAAAAGAGAACAATGATGGGGCCAGTAGGTGGCATGGTGGTTAAAGGCACTAGACTTCCACATGGCGACTGCCGTTAAAGTTCCAGACCTAGTGGTTTGCTTTCTCTTTTTCCCTTTCTCTCTCTAGTTAAATTAAAAAATAATAATAACAATAACAATAACAAATGAAATTAAATAAAAAATTCTTTAAAAAAAGAATAATGATCTATTATAATATCTCTATTATCACTATTATCTATAAGATAAATAACAATAACACTCACCAGAGAGAGAAAGAGAGAGAGAGAGAGACTGAAAAATCACCTCCCCCCCCCCCGGGAGAATGAAAACATCAAAATCCCTTCTCTTCCATTTTCCTCTCAGGATTTTGGGCACACATGCATGCACACCCAGTGTGATTTTCAAGCTGCCAGGTTCAGAACTTGACAGTAAGCCAAGTGGGACATCGAGTCCCTTTACCTCCACCCCACCTGCTGGCCCCAGTAAATACAAATTTTAAAAGCTCCTACTCCACACCAGTGGCACATGTAATATATTTAGAGCACTAAAACAGTAGCGTTCAAGAAGATTGGGGGGACGAGGTCACTCATGCACTAAGAGGTTATGGGCATTACAGTCGTTCTGAACATCAACAACATGTTATGGCCCTCAGACACGGCAGTCTCACACCTGGGTTATACTGTAGAGAAAGCCCCGTCAGGGTACACAGGGCATGTAGACTGTGCTCAAGACAATACTGCTGGTAGCAGGGAATTAGAGGTGACCTAGGAAGCCAGCACCGGGGATTCAGAATGTAAACAGAAAGGCAGATAGTATGGAATGGTAAGCAACAATAAGAAGCAGTTAGCTAATCTGCATTTAGGAGAGATATATATCAAACAATGCTGAATGACAAATGCAAATTAAAGTGATACCTATTCCAATGTGCTGCTTATACGAAAATACATTTTATAAATGCATGCTGTGCTAGTACTCTGCAAAAGCACATGGTAAATGCAGTACAGTGGCTGTTATTAGGAAGAGGAAAGAGAATGAAGCAGAAAGGAAGAAAACAAAATAAAACCAAGATGGAGTCACTGTATAGACTACTCATGATAATAGTGTGAACCAAGAAGTATAATCAAGCATTTGCTCCTGAATTTAAAAACAGTAAACAAAACTAGATAAGCCATATTTTATTCTGCCTAAAACAGATGATTTCAGATATTCCAATAGCAAATTTAGTATCTGCTTGTATGTTTATAAAATTTTCTGTAAATACAAACACTGTCCTGATCCACCCCATATTCTCACATTCTACACCTTCCTTTTCATAACCACTCTTATCCTTCTTAAAAACATTTGGTATGATTTATCCTCTGCTCCCTACTCTATCTCCAAAAGCTTTTGGTTTAGTTAAAATAAGAACATACTCATGGAAGTTTAACACATAAAAATCAGAGATTATGTACAATAGACACGAAAAATGTTTAGACATCTATTAGAAAATTATTTAATACTTCATTTTTGTTAATGATCATTTTTACTGTTAATCACCTCTTACTATATCATGCTGAAAACCACAAGAGGGAGCTTTGGGTCCAAATACTTCACCCATTAAACAGTGATTAATGCTTGCAGAATACAGTAACATTCCGTGGAGAGGACGGAAAAGTAAAGGGATGTTGAGTTTTAGCTGGATAGACTAAGACAAAGATAGACACAGCACACAGTCGAAGTTAAAGAAGGCTTTATGACAGTTAGAAGAGTGACCAGTCAGGTTGGTTTCAGGGAGAACTTTTCAGATAAAATAAAATCTGAGCAGAGCTTGGAAGAAGATGGGTTGCTGATGAAGAAAGGATAATCAGTGAAAGTAAATGTCACAAAGGTGGCATGAACTTTAAGGAAAAAGAAACTTATCATTTTTTAAAAGAAAGATACAAAAATAATAATGGTAGTAGAAATGCCCATGGTTTTCTATTTATTTTTAAAATTTCCCAGGGGGTGCTTAGGCTCACCAGACAGAGATGGAAGACGGAAAGGGACAGTGCATGATGTGAGCACCCCCACAGGCACGCCAGGCTGCACCCCTCTCATGTCTTGTCCCACTGGCATTTGGGGATTGTGTGCCCGGCGTGTTTTTCGAACCGCAGTCGGCCACGTGGGATTTGTTCAGTTAATGGCTTGACCACAGGGCTGGCTCCCTATGTGTCTTAATTCAGATTTAATGTCCTACTTCTTGTCCTAGATTATTCTACATATAGTTCCCCCTTTTGATAGGTGGGAAACGTCTGTCAGCATTCTATGAGGAAGATAACTAAGCAGAGTTTGTATTTCTCTTAGATTTACCAAATTTACTAATGAAGTATTTTATACTTAAGATGAATGATTACTAAACAAATGGCTTTAATTTGGTTTTATCTTGTTGAGATGTTACACAGTAAGCAAAACTAAATTAAATTCTGCTCATATCTAGAAAGCCCTGATTTGAGAGATTTCATCTATTTTTGTTTTCACTTGCTTACTTACTTCATCCATCTTCATACATGTGCCAAAATCTGCTAATTTTAGATGTCCGTGTTTATCCAAGAGCATGTTGTCGGGCTTCACGTCCCTGTGAATGAGACCCATGGAGTGTATTGCGTCCAGAGCAAGGACAACTTCAGCAGTGTAAAATTTGGCCCACTTTTCAGGCACATCGTAATTACTCATAAGGTTTACAAGGTCACCACCAGGCATGTACTCCATTACCATGTACAGATACCTATCATCTTGAAAGGCACAAAAGAGCTGGAAAACAAAAGGGAAAGGAAAAATTAAAAAAACAAAACAAAAAACAAAAAACAAACCCAAAACAAAAACCATAAACAGAATGAAAACCAAAAACTATTATTACTAAAACACAAACTATTTTATAACCAAAACGAGTTAAAATTTATTAAATCCTTTATTTTAGACATGGGCATGTTTAACAAAAAAGCAGTATTAGGCAAAAATTTTATATGGATATCTTCTTCAACTTCACTATCCAACTATGTATAAGTGAATATTTTCCCTCTTCAAAAACATAACGTGGGAAACTAAATAGAAACATAAAAAAGAAAAACAGAACAGGAACGTAAAACAGAAAAAGTGAGAGAATGATGGAATTCATTAGTTTAAAAAGCAACGTTCTGAAAGCTAAAGAAACTACTGCACATAACTCGTGCAGAAGTGAGCTAAGGAGGTAGGAACCACTTAGAAAAATCTAAAGCGTAGCAAATTCAGTAAGAGGGAATGAGCCCCCAACCAAGAAAGGAGTTACTGGTAGCTGTATTTGGAACAGGATTACCCTCCCTTCCTCCTCAACTTGCTCATGATGAACAGCAAATGGCATTGTTGCCTGCACCCAGACTTAACTCTAACAGTGGTACGGGGACCAGAGAAATAAGACACCAACCAACCAAGGTTGCTACTGGCCCCCCAGAAGAGACAGAAACCCACAATCTTGGAAGAAAGGGTATCTATCCCACAAACAACATGTCCCAAACCTCCTGGCAGTAAACAATGCAAACAGAAACAGTTTCTACAAACGGGAAAGATAGAACAAAACTAAGAATCAATATTTAAGAGAAAACAACATCATAAAAAAGGAAAGGCGATCCAAGAAACAAAATTAATACTCAATGAAATGTTTAATTAGGACCAACCGAGGTCGGTTTAAAAACATAAATGTCCTCAAGAGGGTAAGAGATCGGTTGCATCACAGCATATAGATAGGAAAAGAACAAACGAACAGAGCCAGAAAAGTGAACAAAGGATCTTTTTCTCAACATGACAGATTAAATGAGGTACAAAGCAAGGCTGACGAAGCTCCAACATCTGTGTAAAAGCAATCCTAGAAAAGAGAGAACACAGAGTAGAAGTAAAAGAAACAATAAAAACAAAATCCTAGGAATAAAGCTAAAAATCTAAGGTGAAAAGGATCTGTAAATGAAAGAGACTTCAGACAACTAGTGTTTAGTTTTGAGAAAGCCAAGAATAAAACAGCCTAAGAGTTTCCAAAATGCTGCCTTTTATAGAAAGCCATACAATAAACTATACTGACAACAAACTTCTCGGCCAATCTATTGTTGTATTCAACATACAGAATACAAAAGCCAGTATAGCTGTATCTTAGTCTCGACGGAAAGTGATTTTGATCCTAAAACATGGCTGACTACAAAACGAAGGAGACAGCAAAATCAAATTTTATAACACAATTTCTCAAAGAACTGCTCAAAGATATAGTTTGACAAAACAAAGAATAAATTGAAGAAGACATGAGAGGAGAAAAATAAAGAATCTAGAAATACTTATTAAATTCAACCACTGACACAAAATTGCCAAATATCACAATAATTTTTCAACGGAAGGCAGTGAGACACAGAAAGAGATGGGAAGTCATTATAAAGCCGCCTAGCAAGTCAAGTAAAAGTCTGTGTGGCATCTATTTATCTGTGTACGAGGCAGGAGAAAGCTAACAAGTGGAGGATGCTGTGGAGTGTCCTCCAGCGTCCTCCCATGTGGCTAGATAGAAAAACCCATCAGGGCAGAAAATTCCCTGCCCAAGGTAATGTAGGCAGCACACCTAGGGGTGTCTAGCTGATTAAGCCACAGTTGATACAGCCAATGAGATGAACCAGTGGCCCAGCTAGAAATCAGTGGGCCCAGCCCATGATCAAACGACATGACCTACATTCAGAATTATAAACCTTGCACAATGTAACTGCTGAGGCCTTGTGAGTCACACTCCGTCCACTCAGGCCCACTCCTACCTCTCAGGAGTGTACTTTTTACTTTGACTTAATAAACTACCTTTTCCTTTCACTATTGGCATGTTTTGTTCAATTCTTTGCTTGAAATACCAAGAGTCTGGATTATCATCACAGAAGTCCTTCCACTACATGTATAACATTTTTAACTCTAAATAATTAAAAGAAAAATATGAATAAACATAGAGACACCCAATGTTCATGAACTGGAAACTCAGTTTTATCAAAACAAGAGTTCTTCCCAATTGATTTATCCCCAAATACTCAATGCAATCTCTACCTAAATTCTAGTCTCCCCCACACCACAGAAGTCAGCAAGTTGATCCTGAAATTCATTTGGAAATTCAAAGGACCCAGATGAGTCAAAACAATATTGGACTAGAACGAAGTAGAACTTTTATTTTCCACTTACAAAACTACAGTAATCAAGACAGTACTAGTACTGGCATATGGATGGATACACATACAGCTCAACGGAGCGAACAAAATTCAGAAATAAGCCCTTATATTTAAGGTCAGTACAATTTTTTTTATAATGGTGCCAGGGAAACTTAGTGGGATTAAAGAAAGTTGTTTTTTAAATGGTGTTTAAACAATTCCACAGACAAAAAGATACATACGTTCAGATCCTTACTTCACACCATAATAAATGAACTCAAAATGGATTATAGACATAAATTTAAAGTGAAAAACCATTTGAACAATAAAAAAGCTAAAAGAGTAATCTTTATGACCTTAGATTGAGCGAAGATAAAAGATACAACACCCAAAACAAAATTGACAAAATAAAAAACAAATGACATAGAATTTCATCAAAATAAGCATTTTCTAGCTTTAAAAGATACATCGATAAAATGAGAAGATAAGCCATAGATGGGAAGGAAGTCTTTACATTTGATATACATGATAAAGGGCTTACATCAGCATACATAAAGAAGTGTCCAAACATAAGAAGGCAAAATAACCTAAATTTTCCAAAGACCAGAAGTTATGAATAGACATTTCACCAAAGATACATGAATGGTCAATAATCACACAAAAATATGCTCCGCTAGCATTAGAGAAGTTCAACAGTGAGACAGACACACACCACTTCATGCCCCCTATAATGGCTATGATAAAAAAAGAGAAAATATCAAGTGTTGGTGAAAATGTAAAATGGCATATCCACTGTGGGAGAGTTTGGCAAGTTCTTTGAAAGTTAAACATATATTTACAATCTAGGATTCTACTCCCAGGTGTCTACCCAAAAGAAATGAAATATAAAATGAAGAACACATCCATCAAAGACCTGAATGCAAATGTGCATAGCAGAATTATTCATTACCCAAGACAGCCAAAAGGTGAAAACAGTTCAAATGATAATGGATAAACAAAATGGAGTATATCCAAACCTTCCAGCCTGGTCCCATCTGACCTTCTGAAAAGATTTTATCAGCCCAAGCCACACCTAGCTTCTAAACCAGGATCTAAGAATTGTCTTGACTGACTTCATTAGTTTCCGCTGCCTTGTTAATCACGGCTTGTCTTTAAGCCTTCTGCAGAGAACAAAACTAGTCATCCTGTCCTGTCCTGTCCTGCCCTGTCTTGCCTGCCCAGAAAGGAAATTGCCCCCTACTGTCCTCCCAAGGGATCACGTCTCCTTGTGGTCCCACAGAGACAGTCTCCTCAATCCCCTATGCTTTGTCTCTCCCCTACACATGCTTGGTATCTTGTACAGTTCGTGGAGTCCATTTCTGGGCTCAGATTTGCCCTCTCACCAATGCTGCCCTCACTCAGTAAATTCCTTTCTTTATTCACCAAGTCTTGTCTCTCAGGAAGGGCGGCATGGTCTTGATCTGCGGCCACCTGGATGACTATCCATGCCTGTTCTGGTATGAGTTTCAGATTAAAAGCTGCACTTTGGGAGTCTCCAGGCTACTTGTATTTCTTACCAAATGGTTACAAATTCAGGGGTTCCCTTAGTCTCTTAGGTTCAATAATTTGACACAGAGAAATGCTTTTCATTGTATTTTATTATAAAGGAAACACACAAAGTGAAGTGTGGGAGGAAATGCGGAGCTTCTTAGTATGGAATTATAGGCTCGCCAACTAGGACACTCCCCTGAATGTCAATGTCTAAAGTTTTTACTGGTATTTCATTAATTAAACATGATTAATTATGTCACTGGTCAAGTGATTAAACTCAATCTGAAAGTAAGCAGGGACTCCCTAAAAAGGGATAGGTCTGCAGTTTCTCCTTCTGGGCAAAAAAACTAGAATCCCCAAAATGAAAATTAATAAGGGCTGAATAAAAAGTAAAATGTCTTTGGTAAGGGACTTGGAATATAAGGTTCATTTACATTGCAACGGTCAAAAGTAAACTTCATAATTTGGTTATGGTAATCAAGCAACAGTGGCCATGAATGAGGGTCTTATAATGTCTCATTTCAAGGAAAGAAATTATTTTAGCTTCAATATTAAGATTTTTTTTTTTTTGCAGGATGGAAACTCCTGGCTGTGGGCATATAGATCCCAGGCTGAAGGAAGTCAGAAACCTGACCAGAAACTGGATTATCTAAGGCCTTTTCAATCAGGAAAGCCCAGGAGATTATCATGTTCCCTTAAACCAATCATGGAACTGATCACATGTCTGGGACCCCTACCCTTAATTTTGTTTTTGCTTTTTTATTTTTTTAAGGTTTCTGCCATAGGGTGTGTGCACGCTAGAGAGAGAGAGACAAAGAGACAGAGAAAGGAAAAGTGAGAAATCAGCCCCAGTGGGATGGCCACGCTGCAATCCTTTCACCTCCATTCTCCTGTGATTTGGGGTATACATGCACTCATGTCCGGCATGATTCCCAAGCTGCTAGGTCTAAGACTTGACTCTCACAGTCAGCCATGTGGGAGCCCAGCACCTTACCATGCCACCTGCTGGCCCCCCTCCTACCCTTAAAAATGCATGCGGGGACCTCTCTGGGGAGACTAGGCCTTTCCAGTATGAGCTGCCAGCTCTCCATGCCTGGCACACTGCAACAACGCTGCACCTTTCTTCACCACACCGTGTGCCTGCAGTTTGGTTTGTAGTCCTTGGGCAAGGGAACTTGATTTGAGTTCCATAGCCAATCTGCAGCCTCCTACTTCTCCCTCAAGGTCGCCACAGAGTGCCTCAATCCTCTAATCTTCCTCTAATCCAGTGCTGGCTCTTTCTCCTGACCGGCCCCATCCCGCTATCAGGACGTCGAGGGTACCACATTAGCATAACAAAGGCACTCCTATCGCTCAGGAAATTCCAGAGTTTGAAGCTCTGTGCCAGGAACTAAGGACAAGGCTAGTATATTCTTTATTATACAGCACCACACAAGGTCCTACGCTGCACTACAAGGAATGAGGATGATATTACAATGTGAACGAGCTTCAGAAACAGCATCCTACACTTTTTGTCTTAATAAAAATGAAACTTAAAGAAGAAAAGAGCATGCTAAGGGAAAGAGACCACTTATAGGAAACGTGAAGAAAAGGCAAAGGAGCACAGCAGTCGCCCAGAGCTGGGAAGCTAAGAGGAAATGTCCATAACCAGCACAAATGACCATTTAGGGACAGCAGAAAAGTTCTAGAACAGATAGCGGGGATGACCACGCAACTCTGTGGGATTCCTAAAATCAATGATCACACACTTAAAAACAGGTGAATTATATAATATGCAAATTGTACCTCAATAAAATTTTATTATAAAGTTGCATTATAAAATTATAGCATGGTAGCTCTTAATACAAAAGGCCACTCTTCCTAATACCATCGTTTTAGGATACTGGTGTTATCGAGCCATTATTAGTTAAGATTTCACATGAGGGCAGCCTATGGTCCAGGGCTTAAGTGACCAGGATCCCACATGGCTGACCATATGCCTTGAGTCCCAGACTCAATGGCTTTAAAAACATGTGTGTCCAAATTCTGGAAGGAGGAAGAAATTGAAGAGAGGGGACGCTTCATGGTCATTCCCTGTGGGGCGGTGCTTTCTTGCTTTCCCTGTTTCTTTCTGTCCATCTCCTATAAGTGCATGTACTCTCTAGCAAAATTTTTTAAAAATAAGGATTTCATATGAATTTTGGGGAGACACAAACATTTATCAATAGACCATAACACCTATTATTATTATTATTTTATACTTTTTCATAATATTAATAATATTCTACTATGAAAATATTTTCATTATCTTGGGCATGGAGCAGGATGAATCAAACTGTAGGGTCTACAGATATGACTACATCTAAATTTTAAAAATTCACTAAGCAACAGACAACTAATAGTCAAGAAAACATATTTCTAATGTATATAACCAAGTATTAATATCTAGGGTCTGCTAGCATTAACAAATCAATTAAAACAAGCAAAATGGAGCTAGCAGGTGGCGTGGTGGTTAAGGGCGCTGGACTCCCACAGGGCCGACCATGGTTCGAGTCCTGGACCTGGCGGCTTGCTTTCTCACTCATTTTCTCTCTTTCTCTCCCTCTATCCCTCTCTCTCACTCTGTTCCTCACTGGTCAAATTAAAAATAAATAAATAAATAAAGTTTTAAAAAGGCAAAACGACGCATCTGAAAAATAGGATAAGCAAAGTGGAAGGAAGACAAATTACTAATAAGTACATAAAAATATGTTGAACCTCTTAACAAGGAACTGTAACTTAACAGAATAATGCCTTATTTCTCAAGCATGTGACTAATTAAGACTTGTAATAATTACAACATCCAGTATATGCTAAAATTGTGGTGCAAGAAAACATCTACTGCACAATTACAGATAATGCAAAGTTGTAAGCAACTTTTTACAAGGTAATTTGGCAGTGTCAGTCAAAACATCAAATCTGACCTAGCAGTTCCAATGCTAGTAATCTATTCTAAAGAAACACACACGTGTAAACGATGCGCCTGTAAGCACAGTAAATTCCACGTCAAGGGCAGAAATGTACAAGATAGGCCTGGAACGCTTTGTTAGACAGAAAGCAACCACGCTAGCGAGACTACAACTGAAGGTCTCAAGAGCGGTGTGCCAGCAGCCGGAGATATGCGATGAGAGCCTCGATAAGACGTTCAAAGGAAGGAAACACATCACACAGGGTTTATGTCCAGAGTTAGAACCAATACTCTCCCCAAGCTGGTCACCCCTAGAAGATAAAAGTAAACTGATGCCTGATTTTGAAAAATGGTAAATAAAAGAATAAAAGCATTTATCCTATCCTTCCTATGTGAACTGTACCAGTGTGTAAAAACTAGCAAATAGGGGAGTATTTTTCTTTACAGATTAGCAAAGAGGAATGACTGAATTGGCATGTCACCATTTTATAACCCTTAATAAATTTATGGATTGAGGTCCTGACCACAATTATTACTAGTATATTATTATTATTGCTATTGTTATCCTGCTAATAAAACATGTTCTATGAAGTAGTCCTGTCCTGCTCCCCCGAAACATCAAACGTGAATCTTACCAAGTCTCTGTATCTAACAATCAGTTTACAAAAAAATGAATAAAAGAGAAACACATTAACCTACAACACAAAGACAAATGCAAAATTCAGGTGTTTTCAACCAAGGCACAAAACAATACAAAAGAGGGAAACTCTAGATTGAGATTTGGCAGATATATCCGAACTTAAATTTTTTAAACGTCAAAACTAAACTGGGGTATTTAGGGAGGCACATTGGGATGATGAAACTACAAAAGAAAGCAAGGAAGTTTACCATAAAAGTGAAGACATTAGAAAGACATCATAAACTGGATATAAAGAAGGCTTAAAATAGATAAAGTCCTGCCTACCAGCAAAAGAATCATTTTTAAAATGTATCAATATTCATTTACTGAATTCTAAGAAATACAGCTTTAAGAAATACAGATGGATCAGGTATCTAAGCATAACTCGTGTAAGAAAAATGAAAGAGCTATTTCCAAAGAGTATAGAAACCAGTAAATCAGGGCCCATTCACTCAGTTAAATAATGAACAGTCAATAAAAAGTAAGAGCGAAGTCATTACAAATGGAAAACTATTTGGAATAACTCACTGAATTTGATTATAGGCATATCTCATGACTGATTAATTTTTACCTCAAGGCAGATTCCCTAAAAGGAAGGTATGAACATAAGCCCCAAAATCCATATAAACGAATATTCATAGCATTATTCTTTATAATACCCAAAAAAAGAAACAGCCCAAATGTCCATTCAATGATGAATGAACAAAATGTGGAACAGCAATAACAGGGTATACGTTCCTCAGTCAGAGTACGGAGTGAACTGCTGATAGCTGCTTTAACATGAATGAATGAGGAAAACGCCATGCAAAGTGAATGATGCCACGGAGGACTGGATTTACTACATAATCCATTAGAGTGAGATGTCCAGAACGGGCAGCTCCGTAAAGACAGAAAGGAGATGAGTAGTTGACAGGAGCTGGGGTTGGAGAATAATAACTAATAGATTCAGGATTTCTTTCAGGGATGATAAAAATGTTCTAAAATTAGGTAATGATGTTTGCACGACTCTGTGAATGTTTTTAAAAATCACTGAATATTGAAATAAAAAATCGAGTTAGTCTCTTTCACAAGTTTTCTCGAAAGTTAAATATTTCACACATATAAATCTAACAGTGCATGAACGTTCTTTATCAAGAGATAAGCAGATGAAGTCTGCAACTGTAACCTTATTTTTCAATGCTTCCTGTTGATTTGCTTCCTAAGATCCATTATCTCAATAATTAACAGATCTTCTCTATCATGACCATTATAAAGGTCCACTTGGCAGTTAAAGACTAAAAGGTACTAATTTATAAAACAATTAACTAGAAATGGCAACAAATTCAGTGCTATAAAAACAATTTAAAGCTAAAAGTGGAATATTTATTACCATTATTCTTTAATCAAGTAAGTCATTAGGTTACATTATTTACGACAAACATTTTAGTTTTAGCTGCACATATTATAATTAGAAATTCTACTTACTGACTAAAAAAAAAAAAAAAAAAAGGGAAGACTGAGGCTTAGCCTCATTCAAAAAAGCAACTAGTAAGTTTTTAAATGGCACAGTCAACCCTTGTGGCAGGTTTTGTTTTTTTGGGGGTGTTTTTTTCCCTCCAAATTGCTTTCCACAAATGAGATTTCAACTCTTGGAAAATTTAAGTGTTCTGAACATGCACTGGTATACACATTTTAGTCATGATACTTTCAAAAATGTTTACAGACTTACATATACTTGAGTATGAAACATCTTTCAGAGAAGCAAGGCTGATAATGGACATGACAGAGAAGGACGAGAAGCAGAACTGTAAATTCCTCAATCCACAACCAACGAAGAGGCAGAACTAGAATCCCTGCTAAGATTCTACATTATAGGTAATATGTAAGACGATGGGGAAATTTTCAAAATGCTTTATTAAAGAAAGGGTTTTTTCCCTCAGGACAGGCTGATCCATGTAACATGAACTTCTAACTAATATGAATATGTACACATCCTTCCAAAGGATTCAATGAATTTACTAAGTTTCTACTATGCAAATCAAAAGAGCGCGTGGGTAGGGAATAATGACACACTGGTGCTCAAGCCAACTCTTTATAAAAGAATGAAAAAAGAAAAAATTGCAAGTAATGCTTGTTTCTATACTTCCAATTTAAGTAACTATTACATATTATGTCTATATGGACATACTGTTTAGGAACATTAAACAGGAGTACTGAATTAATCTTATTAAAAATAACTTCACTGTTACTATGTAAACGAAGCATAGGACTATTGGCACAAAATCAACTCTTATGAACAATATATAAAACTTTATACCACATACAAAAAAAAAGAAAAGAAACATATAAAAGTTTGTATACCTACCTGAACCACCCAGGGACTATTGGCAAAGGCCATAATATCTCTTTCTTCCCAGAAAAAAGCAGAATCTGATCTTTTTATCATTTCAAACTTACTAAGAAGCTTCATGGCATAAACCTTCTGTGATGCCTTATGACGAACCTGTTGATTTTGAAAAACACAAAAATTATTAATACTTCAATTTTATGAGATGGGTGAACAGATCATACTGTTGTTGGATCTTCAGAAAAGTCATGACGCATTTTGCCAAGGAATGGCATATTTCTGCACAGAAAAACATAGAAAAATATATCATGACTTTTCTGACAGACCAATATAATGCTATTATAAAGATCTCAATTGCAAAATGAAATTACCTTAGCTAATAAAAATAAAAAGCATAACATCAGAAAATTTCTTCTTTTTCCAAAAATTTTCTATAGGGCACATGTGCTTACCTGAGAGAGAGAAAGAGAGGTAAAGAGAGAGAAAAGTGGGAAATCACACCTGGGGGGAGAGCCATAAGCAATCCCTTGCCTCCGTTCTCTTCTCAGGATTTTGGACACATACACGTGCCTGACCTGTTTTTCAAGCTGCTGGGTTTGGGACTCAAACCACTCGGTCAGCCATGTGGGATCCAGTGCCTTATCCTCTGGGCCACCTGCTGACCCCAAGACTGTTCGTCCTTTTTTTTGGAGTTGTTTTGTTGTGTTTTGTTTTGTTTTGTTTCATTTTGCTATAGGGCACATGTGCTCGCCAGAGAGAGAGAAGAGACAGAAAGCGAGAAATCACCCACAGGGTGGATGGCCATGCCACAATCCCTTCTCCTCCATTCTCCTCTCAGGATCTTGAGCATGTACTCACACGCGCCCGGTGTGAGTTTAAGCCACAGGGTCTGGGACTTGAACCTTGGTCAACTATATGGGAGTCCAGTGACATAGCCATTATATTAACTGCTGGTCCCAAGACTGTTCTTCCTAAGCATGACCTACAACCAAGAAATCATCTAGATAAACATTAAAATTTGACGTGTGACATTATAACTTCAGAAACAAGATTTAGGACCAGCTCTGTGTCCTAGAGGGATCCAGATCCCATGTGAATGATGACTCGGCTTGAATCCCAACCCCAATGGCACATGCATGTGTACTCAAAATGCCAACAAGATGAAGAAATGGAGAAGGAATTGAGGGGCAACCATGCCCTGCTAGGGAGTTTTCATTCTCTGTGTGTGTCTCTCTCTTCCTCTCTCTGGTGAAGGCATGTGTCTTCTGGCAATTTAAAACAAAAACAACAATAGTCTCGTGGCCCGAGCATGGCACCGGGCTGGAAGCAATATGGCAGGCGAGCACAAAATCAAGCTGTCCAAGAACCTGGGGCACATGAAGTTCATGCATGGGGACTGTACTCAGAAACCAAGAAAGAACTAGAGGAGGAGGAAAAGAAAATCATTCATGAAGAACACTGGTATTTGGATTTGCCAGAGCTTAAAGAGAAAGAGAATTTCATAACAGAAGAGCAGAGCTTCTTGTTATGTGAAGATCTTCTCTAAGAAATGAATGCTGCAGATGAATGCCAAGAACAAAGACGACATTGAAGATGAAACAGTGGAGCTTGATGTGGAAGAAGATGAAGAAACAGTTAGAAGATATGAGACCTTGGTGAGAACAACTGGAAAAAAATTTGTCAAGAAGACCAGGCCAATTATGAAGATGAAGAAAATGGAGACATAAAATCAATTAAACCAAAAAAGAAAATGTTCTGAAAACTCCAGGATTAAAATGGATACTTTAAGACATGCCTTAATTGGACCAGCAGTTAGTGTATGGCTATGTTGCTGGACTCCCATGTAGTTAACCATGGTTCGAGTCCCAGACCCGGTGGCTTAAAACTCATGCCAGGCCCATGTGCGTGTGTGCCTAAGATCCCGAGAGGAGAATGGAGAAGGACTGCGTTGTGGCCATCCCCCCTGGGGGGTGATTTCTCACTTTCTGTCTCTCTATCTTTCTCTATCTTTCTGGCGAGAGCACGCACCCTATAACAAAAACCTCTCCCCTGCTCCCCAAAAAGACATGCCTTAAGGCTCAGGGATGCCATGTGAAAGCAGCTTATTTTAGAGCTCATCCTGATGGTGTTTCTATAGTTATTAGCATTATAATGTTTATTTGTAAAAGAAAAAAATGTAAGAGTTCAGAAACATGCTGTTTTTGAAACAGATGTGTGATGAGTGTTATGTTCCTTTGCTGAACAGTATTCATCAAGAGTGGGTTTTCATTCCCTGGCCTTCAAGTGTACACAGATTCAGTTTCTTTTTTTGGAGAAGTTTTTTGCTATAGGACGTGTGCGCTCGCCAGACAGACAGAGAGAGACATAGAGACAGAAAGTGAGAAATCACCCCCCAGGGGGGATGGCCACGCTGCAATCCCTTCTCCTCCGTTCTCCTCTCAGGATCTTGGGCACGCATGCACACGCCATAGCCATTACGCTGACTGCTGGTCCCCAGATTCAGTTTCTTTCTAAAGACTTTCTACTTCATTTTTTTTTTTTTTAATACAGCCATCAGCCTTGAATAGACTCATGTAAGTTAATGGCCAGGTTTAAGTTGCCCCTATGTTTATATTTCACTTTAAATTGTTAATCATGTCAAGCCAATTCATATATACACTTTGGAATGAGATGCCATGTTATATGTAAATATATCAAGAACAAACCTGCTTTTCCAGCCTTATTATCTGCATGCTACCTGGTCATTGTCTATTAATGGTATTATGGTTTTCATTTAAAGCATTTACTTAATTAAAAAAAAGAGTTCTGTGATAAGAAAAAACAAACAAAAAAAGAAATAAAAGTAAAAGTAGAAATCCCTTCCACAGCAGAAAAACTAGTTTAATTGATGTGTTGAACTAGCAGATTATCTCAAAGCAAGTTATTCTAGCAATATTGTTTTTTGTTTCGTTTTTTTTTTTTAGAGGTTTTCGCTATAGGGCGCGTGCGCTCGCCAGACAGACAGAGAGAGACATAGAGACAGAAAGTGAGAAATCACCCCCCGGGGGGATGGTCACGCCGCAATCCCTTCTCCTCCATTCTCCTCTCGGGATCCTGGGCACGCACGCACACGCGCCCAGCGTGAGTTCTAAGCCACCGGGTCCGGGACGCGAACTGCGGTCGACTACGTGAGAATCCAGCGACATAGCCATTACGCTAACTGCTGGTTCTCTGTTTTTTTTTTTTGTTTGTTTGTTTTTTTGAGAGGTTTTTGCTATAGGGCGTGTGCACTTACCAGAAAGACAGAGAGAGACAGAGAGACAGAAAATGAGAAATCACCTCCCAGGGGGTATGGCCATGCCGCAATCCCTTCTCCTTTCTCTTCTGGGGATCTTGGGTGCACACGCACATGCGCCCGGCTAGAGTTTAAGCCACCGGGTCCAGGACTTGAACCGCGGTTGAGTATATGGGAGTCCAGTGACAGTGACATAGCCATTACACTAACCCCTAGCAAATTTTTTTAAATTAAAAAAAAAAAAAAAAAAAGAAAAGAAAAGTTAACAATAGTGTTAAGAAGTTGCTAAGATGCTCCTCCTACACAGATTTAAGCCACTCTTCAAACCTTCAGTTACTCTAAGAACAAATCAAATTCTGTATGTTTCGTAACTTCATTAGAAAAAGCAATTCATATAACTTTGAGTCAATTTATTTATTCAGTATTATTATTTATGCTTGACTCAGATCAAAAATTATTTTTAAAATTCTGATATAACGCAGATATGAACAGAACCTAAGAGATATTTATGAGCTAGAAGAAAATAGTTAAATATTTAAACCAGCAACATTTACATATCAATACAAACATAGAAGGAAAAGCCCCACATTGGAATAAGCAAAAAGCTACACAACAGGGGCGTACAATGACTTGTGAATATGAGAAGAATGCTCATCGACTTCAGTTCTTCACGCACAACTGCCCCCTTCTCCATGCTCCCACAGCAGTGCGAGGTACGGAAGTACTCTCACTGCATACGCCTCTGTCTCACAAGCTCCATTGGGAATGGAACGTTTTCATGTTGTTCAGCGGTTAGCACAATGCTAAACTGTCCAGGTCCACAAATTCAACACAACTGCAGCTATATCTGCATGATGTCTAGAAAGCTGAATAAATGAAACATATTTTGACTAGAGGCTTTAGTTCATTAGGCCTGAATTTCATTTCACTGCTGAAAATGAGCACAGTGGAAAGACCTGGGGAAGGCACAGGAAGAAGACAGCCATCCACAAGCGAAGGACAGAGACCCCAGGAGAAACCAAACCCCCAACACCTTGATCTTGAAATCTTAAACCTTAGGCCTCTAGAAATGCTGAGAAAATAAATTTCTGCTGTGTAAGCCAGGAAGTCTGTGGTGTTTTGTTATGGCAGACCTAGACAACTAATACATCTAAAATTTAGGATACGATTTCTATTTTTTATTTAAAGCTAATTTAAATCCATGACAAAGAAACTGGCAACAGTGGCAATGGCGAAAGTGTACTTAGCACCTACCCTGTGCCAGGTCCCCTGAGTACCACATATGCAAAGACTACTGAGTGGCCGAGAAAGTCATGACACGTTATTGCACATGCCACGACTTTCCTGACAATCTAATAACTCAGTCATCTCGATTTTTTTATTTTTAAGTTTTTGCCACAGGGTGCAAGAGCTCGCCAGAGAGAGGGAGAAGGAAGGTGAGAAACCCCCGCACAGGGGATGGCCATGCACTGCAATCCCTTCTCCTCCATTCTCCTCTCAGGATTTTGGGCACACGTGCACACCCGCCTGGTAATGATTTTCAATCCACCAGGTCCAAGACTCGAACCATGATCAGCCGTGTGGGAATTCAGTGTCTTAACCATCTTGCCACTTGGTGGGCCCCCCATCACAAAAATCTTCAGAAAGTAAATTCTGTCACTGGTGCCGCTCTGAGGTGAGGAAATCAGAGCTCTGATGACGAGAAATCAGTACGCTACAGGATGGAAACGGAAGTCGTCAACTTTGACCTTCCACAGCACCAGAGGACTTCACACGAAACGTCTATTAAAAATTTTACATTACTGGGGCCAGAAGATAGTGAAGTGGTAACATTGTTGGACTCCTACATGGCCAGTAACGGTTCAAGCCCCAGGCCCGGTGG